ATATATTTTATCATGTTTAAATTAGGTAGAATTATTATGTATAACAAAATTCTTTCTCTGATTATTTGACATAACTATATTCATTAAACTAAAATAATTATTATTTGGTAGAGTATTGAATTTTTTTTTTAAAAAAAACACTATTTTCATAATATGATTTTATTTATCACACTTGTAGTATTTTATTTTATTTTTCAATAATAATGACCAAACATTTAATATATTGTATGAGTATTCATAAATATAAATTAATTTTAAAATACTAATAATATAATTAATACAAAAACTTCAATAAAAAGTGATTTGTAATGAGTTTCAAAGGTGATTGGTGACACTTTCAACTTATTAATCTAGGATTTTATATCTTAACAACTCTCAAATTTAATTAATTTTAAGTTAATTAAGACTTGCATTTTTATTTTTTAATCTAGGCTTGTAATTTCAAATTTTTGGCCTCTACTTCAAGTATTTTTTTCCTTTTATCTACTAGGTTCGTGCTCTTTTTTCTTGAATCTTTTTGTTATATATATATATATATTATGCTTGACTTTTTTATAGAATTTTTAGGCTTTATGTTACTTTTTTTTTCATTTTTCGTTTAAGTAATTTCTCATTTTTCATCTCTTTTTAAGGCGTTTAAGTTTGTAAACTTCATCTTAAGTTCAAAGTTCACATGTCCAAAGGTTAATTTTTCACTAAATTGTGAGAAATCATCTTTGCTACTTGCATCTTCTTCATCATTAGAGTTTATATGAGTTTTCCATTATTCATATACCTATGAATCATCATCGCCTTCTCATTAGAAGCATCACCTTTATATATGCTTTTACACACTCACTCATATTATTTTCTAAGTCTTTGTCTTCTTTAATAACCACATTTTTTTTGTTCTTGCTCCATTCCCTTGTGCTTTTGTTGCATTTTTGTTCTTATTCCTTTTGATTTGATCTTTGTCTTCTCATTCCTTTTAATACTCTTCGTATTTTTTTCATCCTTTTGAACAACAGTTTTTGTTACTTCTTCACTCTCCTATTCTACTAACTTGGGATCAACAAATTCATATATTGGGTGTTTATAGTACACATGCATCTCACCATTATTTCTCCTTCATGCATTTGTCATATGATAAATCTAGATTTTGTTAGGTTTTTAGTTAGTTTTCTAGGATTGTTTTAATAGAAAGTATAGTTTGAAAGATAAAAATCTTATAAAAATATATAATTGTTCAATAAATTCAAATTTTATTTTTAGTAACTCAAATTATTTGGATTCAATAGTGTTCTTATGTAATTGCTATTATTGAATTAGTTTTGCAGGAGATTCTAAGAAAAAACTCATGAATTGGAAGTTTTAAGAGGTCAAATGAGTTTAGTGTAATCACTTTAGGTACAAAAAGTGAACACTCCAAAGGTGTAGAAGTCAATTTAGGTTGAGCATAAGCACTTTCAACACCAAAAGCATAAAGTGGGGCGTAACCTGCACGTATTCACTTTACATGTTGAAAGTAATTACTCTAAAGGCTTTTGAGGAGATATATGTTGTGTGTTAGCACTTTTCTCACTGAAAGTGAATGTTGCAAAATTGGAAAAGGTAGTATGTTCTGCATATAAGCATTATTTGTGCTAAAAGTGAGTATTGCAGAACTTGAAATGAAGAAATAGCATGTATGTAAACACTTTTCTCACTGTAAATGAAAGTTCCAAAGAAGAAATGTGAGGAATAACCTGCGCGTAAACATCTTTAGAACCAAGAGTGTTCACTACAGAGACTTTGATAGGGAATCATGATGCGTATTAACACTTTCATTGCTGAAAATGTTCACTCCAAAAGTTTTAACTTGCAAAACACCCTACGCATGAACACCTTTAGGGCCAAGAGTGTTCACTTCAGAGACGTAAGAAATAACTGACCCTACACATAAATACTTTTAATGACAAAAGTGGTTACGCCGGAAGCACAGGAAAGTTGTGAATAGCTTAAAGCTCGGATTTTTAGGGATCTTTTTTTTTTTTTCCTTTTCCATACTCTTAGAGAGTTAGAGAGAGAGATTTGGGGGCTAATTTTAAGGTTCAATTCTAATCAAGCTTGGGACTTGGATTCATTGAGATTTTATGCATATTCTCTTCTACTCTATCTTTCTCTCATCTTTCTAAAATGATGTTTTGATTTCTTTTTGTTAGGGATTGATAGATTCTATTTAGAAATTGTAAATTAATTGTGGATCTGAGTTTTAGGTTCTTGGTTGTATTGTTTCTTTCCTTAATGAAATTCTTGAATTAACTATTCAATTGAATTGAACTTAGAGATTTTACATCAATGGAAGTTAAGTGAACATCTTAGATTTGAATTGAATGTCAAGATTTATGATATCTTAAGAATAAGCATTCATTATCTTGTGATCTCTTAATTTCTCATTTTTAATGCAATGTTTGATTGATTTACATCTAAAGAATTAGGATAATTGAGTCAAGGTATTGAACTTTGATTAACCTAGTGAAATTAATTATTAATCAATTAAGGCACTTAAGAATTCAGATCACATTCAATTTTACAATTGACGAATAGGTAAAATCATCCTTAACCTTAATTGCCTAGCAATCTCATTTCTGGAACCTTCATTTGTTGCTATTTCCTTCTATTTTACTGCACTTTTATGTTATTGTCTTAAATATTTCAAACTTTATCAAATTTTGATTAGCTCAAATAGTTTATAATCTTGCAAATTGGTAATTGATTGTATCAATCTCTATGAATGATACTCAAAACTCATAATTTTGTATTTTATTATTTGCTACAACTATCAAGCACACTTGCTAGATAAATTGCAAAGCAAACATCATCTCTAAAAAATTAGCATTTGACTTCAATATCCTTGATCTTGTGTGTAATTTTTTTATTGGGTTGCAACCAAAACACATTTTTCACTTTATCATAGCTTAGTACATGGCAAAATTTATTGAAATTGAAGACATCCAACATTTCATCATTTGTTTCGAACCAAACTTCAAAATTTTCTCCATACTCTCACCTCAATGATGTATGAGAATTGTAATAAAATTCATTCTACATGATAAAATACACTTAAATTAATTAATAAATAAAATAAGCACATGTATAAAAATCCATCACTAAAAAACTATTATAATTTAAAAACCTAAAAACCCTTAAGGGATCACAATCGACCTATAATAAGTACAAATTGTGATTTTTCTACATATAAACACTCAGTCACACACATAAAAAAGAAAAAACCAAACGACCAAAGTAAAATAAGAGGACCTCTGTAATGGGAAAGACCACAGTACTCTAAGAAACCTTTAGATTATAAGTAAAAGATGAAAGTGAGCATAGTTAGGTACCTTTCTTACCACCAATAAATGATTGATTCCTTCTATCAAATGACGTGTAGTAGCAAATATTGTTTCATACAAACTAAATGGATAAAAATTAAATTAAATAAGCATGAATGGGTCATTCAAAGGAGAATACCAAAGAATGTGAATGAGGTTAGGTGTAATAACTTAATTTTTAAAGATAAAATTAAACTTTTATACTAACACACAAATACAATATTGTTTAGAGTTCACCTAGATGTTTAGGTGTCACAAATCAGCACTTTGTTACTTATTTTTAACGTTAAGAACTAAATTAACTCATAATTATTAATTTTAATGACTAACGTTTCAAATTTAAAATTTAATAGACTTTTTTTTTACTAACCTTACATATTTCAAGGATTAAATAAAAATTTACTCTATTATAAATACTTAATAACTTGATATCTTAACTTGTGAGAGGACTAAAATATAGATATAATAACATTAAAAACTTGTTATAATTACTCATTTTGCTTATTCATGAATAATTTATATGAAATGCTAATTCATGTTAATTATAATTTTTTTTGAATATATATATATATATATATATATATATATATATATATATATATATATATAGAAAGAGAGAGGGAGAGGGAAAGGGAAGGAGATATCTGTAACGCAAGTGGAATAAATATTCGTGTAATAATTCTAGTAATATTAATTACATTAATTTTGTGTGTGTTAAATAATATTAATTATAATAATATTTATTATAAATAATAAAATTATTATATATATATATATATCAATAAAATTACTAAATTAACTCTATTTTGGGTGAGAAAAATTATGCTTGGACTACCTTACTTTTAATAAGGTTAAAATGTAAAAATTAAATTTAAATTAGGATTGACTAATATTATAATAATATTAAAATTATTTTATAAAAAATATAGTATTCAATTATTTTAAAATAAAAATTTTCTATTAAATAAAAATAAAATTTTTTTAAAAAATATTATTGAAAATAAAACTAATAACTATAAAAAATTAATAAAAAAAGTGCAACTCAACAAAGAATAAAATAATTCTTATATATATTTTGCATTTACAAATGAAAACTCAAATATATATAAAAAAATTATATTAACATTAAATATAAGACATATGTATATAAATATAATACATATAGTTTTTATACCAAAAAATAAAATACGTAAAGTTTTAAAATTATTTTAAATAATTATAAAGTAGAACACTAATTCATAACCTGCGCCTTACTCTAGTTTATAAACAATAATTATTAAAATATTATTTTCATTAATTAAATTAATTTTACTACTTTTTAGAAAAAATAAAATTTTATATTTTTAATTTTTTTTCTTATTTACGAATATTTACAAACAGAAAAATAATACACCAACCACTTGGTAATTTTTTCTTAAGTAATAAGGTACAACAAGTATATGACTTAAAGAAAAAATAGCAATTTACCTAAAAGAATATTAAAAACATATTCTTTAATATACTGAATATTTATATTATTAATTAAAATTTATTAAAAAACAAAAAAACGTTAATCTTATTCATAATTTAATAATTTTTAGTCATATTTTTATAAGATTTAATAAATAATTAAAATATTTTAAAAAGAGGTAGAGAGATGGAGAAATCCCTAGAGCGGATGGGCCCTGCGCATGCAAAAGCCCGCCTACTGCAACAACAGCAAACGTGAAACAGAGTCTTGAAACATCCTTTGACGACCAAAGGAGGCCATTTTCATGTCATAATTTCGGATATTTTGAGGAATGATCTAGAACCTTACCCATTCTGAATTCCCACGTGTGTCCTCTCGTCTCCTCGCACGCGCGTTTCATCTCAACTCATAGAGGTCTCATTTCTTCTTTTATTGTCGCACCTCATATTCATCCTTACAATTTCTATTGTTTTTCATTCCATGACTATTTTGGCTTTTAGCTAATACGATCTTCAATTTGGGTATTTAGCAGCGTTCGTAAGTTTGATAGCGATTAAAGAAGGGGTTTGTATAAGTTCTCGGTAATGTTTAAGTTATGTTGTGTTATTGGAAATTGGAAATGAACTAGACCAGCAATTTTTTAAAAGGTTCTTCAAATTGGGATTTTTTTTTTTTTTTTGGTTAATTCATATGCAGATAAGATTCTGGAAAATTTGTTTGTTGGGTGTTATTCAGTTACTGAAATTGACACTTTTTTTGAGTTACATGATGTTCTGTATTGAACAACCCCCTTTCCTGTTGGGGCAAATTCCGAAGTGGGAGGCTTTTTTTTTTTTTTTTTTTTTGAAGTTTTATGATTATCCTGATTTTGCTTAAATAAAATATGAATTTCATTCGAATATAGAAAGAAGGATTACAGATGAAAAAAGTGACAGGGATGATAGTTGAAATGAATTTGTTGAGTTTTAAGTATTTTGAATTCCAAGTGATTTGCATCCCTAATTCCTTGTTTCTATCTTTACTTTCTGTTTGTTGATTTTCTTTGTCTTTGATGGTTATTTACACTTTCTTTTTTCTTTACGCTCTTTGGTTACTGGAGCTACAGTGTTGTTCAGTATGGCCACAATTTTGTTTAGAATTTTTTAGAGAAAATAATCTTGAGAAATGTGTCTGAATTGAAGGTTTATAGTTTGGTGATGAAATTAACTGGCTCTTTGTGCTCAATAATTTGCTATATCATTTAAGGTTAATTGTGTTGCATAGTTACTTTGCATGATATCTGAAATCTTAATTCATGATTCATTTCTTTTTGCGTAGTTCCCGGTAATTTTTAAGGGATATTCCAGCTAAAATGATCTGACTTAAAGCATGTTTTTGTGAAGTGCAGGCATGTAAGTGTGAAGTTTGAGGTCCCAGTCCTATTTGACAAAAATGAACATCCAAGTTGCTGCTAGCCAGCCTGGGATTTATACCAAAAATGTATCTCATTTGCGCCATTTTCATTCTAGACCATGTACATTACCGATGGTGTTCAACCCTCTCTGTGTGACTTCCCTGAGCATTGGAGCTAAACCGTCATCTGTCCAGCAATGTCTGCCTATCCTTAAATTTCGGCAACCTCTACACGTTTGTTTGGCTGGTGGACAAGGAATGATGGAAAATAATGGGGTAATACACCTTCACACAAACTACATTATAACTTTTTGCTTTATAAGACGTCAGTGGTTATTTTGTTAAGTGCTTAATTTTCCTTTAGATACTCAATGAGAAAACTTCTTGATAATTCTTCCCTTAAGTTATTGATTGGATTTTCGCCAAATCTGTGCTGCCTCATGTAGGATATTTCTACTGTCACTTCTACTAAGAATTTGATTGTTTAAAAGTTTATTACAATTAATTTTGATAAAATTAATTTCAAACCATTGAATGTAATTGGTTATGTGCTAAAATTGATCTCAGCCATAGATTTTTATTAGAATGTTTGTTTTTCATTCGAAAATATGAGAATTGATTTTGGAACAGTAAACCAAAATCGATTTTATACCCAAAACAGGCAGATGAATTATAATAAGCACTCCCTTTCTTTAAATACATTTGTAGTTCTGTAGTTTGGGTTTGAATTGTTCTCCAATTACTAAACACTAATATTGTAATTAGGATTCCCAGCGAAAAGCTCTTGAGAAAGCTATGGAACAACTTAAGGGACAGTCAATAGAGGATATGTTACGACAGCAAATGCAAAAAGGAGGAAGTGGGGGCAAGCCTCCAGGAGGACGGGGTGGCGGCGGCAGTGGCAGCAGCCCTGGTGGATCAGATGAAGGAGGCTTTACTGGGATGTCAGATGAAACTCTTCAAATTGTTTTAGCAACAGTTTGCTTTTTATTTCTGGTAAACTCTATCTCTTGTGTTACATGAATTGTGTATGGATCTCTGCTTCCCTATGCACTTACTCATTAGTTTTAAGATTTCTTTATTGTGTTTGAATAATGAAGCAAAAGCTTGAAGTAATGTTGCTAAACTGACAAATGGTAGTTAATTCTGTGTGACTGTATTTAGACTCAGTCTGGACAAGCTTCTCAATAAATTCTTATAGAAAACAAATATACAGAAGTAAAATGACTTAAATTTTTCTCATAAACTAATATCAACTTATGTTCTACTTTTTTAGAAGTCATCTTATTTAACTTTTCTAAAACTTAATGTATATAAGTTAATTTTAACATATTAGAGAAATTTTATTTATATTACTCCTTTATTTTCTTTTCCTAGAAATACTTATAAAAAAAAATAGTAAAATGAATCAAATCTCTCTCGTAAGACATAAGTTAATATTAACTTATGCTCTTCCTTCTACTTTTTTAAAAAATTTCTCATTTAACATCTCCAAAACTTAAGTTTATAAATTATTTTATCTTAAAGATAAGTTTTATTCATATTAACTTCTTTGGCTCAATTTGGATAAACTTCTTAATAAATACTTACACGAGAGACAAGTCAAAATAAAGTAATAAAAGAAATCAAAATCTCTCATGAGTTAAAATTAACTAATGTGTCTTTTTTTCTTTAGAAGCTCTATCATTTAATCCTTCTAAAACTTAAAGAGATAAGTTAATTTTAACTTGTAAGAAAGTTTATTCATTTTTCATATTGTTTTTCTTTTCTTATAAAGACTTATCCATAAGTTTATCCAAACTAGGTCTTTAATTGAAGATATGACTGTAAATACATTTTACATTAGAATAAACAACTGGCACCTGGAACTGATTTCGTAAGTCCTTATAATGCATGAGGTTGTTGAGCATGAAATATGTTCTTATGCAAATCCCTGGTGATATTTAATTAATTTAGACATGATTATTTGAATAACAAAGTTGATAGGATGTATGTGCCATGTCTCATTGGTTAACATCCTACATCTTTTCCAGTATATGTTTGTCATCAATGGCTTAGAACTTGCAAAGCTAACTAGGGACTTCATCAAGTTTCTGTCTGGTGGAGGCCAAAGTGTTCGATTAAAGCGAGCCACATACAAGTGGGTACGATTGTACAAGAATATCACAGAGAAGAAGGAAGTTGACAAGAATGGGTTGGAGAAGAAGGCCCCCACATGGTGGTTCAATCCTGATTTCTTCCGAGGTGTCCTTAGGCATCACATGAAATCAAATTCAGATGAATAATTTTTCATGATTTTGTATCCACTCATATAACCTATTATGTTTTTCTTTAGGACAAAAGGAGCACATTCAATATCATTCTTCGGTTGCTTGATTCACAAAACACCATTTGAGAGTAACTAGTTTAAGAAGAGGTTAAATAAAATTATCGTAGTTTTTTGGCATTATTTAAAGGTCACGGACAATCTAGTTGCAGGATTGATGAACAGGCGCATCTTAGGTTTTGCAAGATTATTTGCTGTAATTATGCTGATTTTTCTTGAAGTTAGTGTTTATTAGCGCCCCCCCAGCATTTCTTTTGTTTTGAAAAGTATGTTTACATTGGTTACTTTTTCTGCGTTGTTAAACTTCATCGCTTATTATTTAATTTAAGAAACTCGCATCAATATCAGTGCACATTGCCTGGCTAAACAGTTTCATTTGAAAGAGCTTTTAGAAAACGGGACTGTCCATGAGTTTTTTATACTTTTTAAAATAGTTTACAAGAATTTTTTTTTGGTTCATTTTAATAAACTTCATGATTAAATTTCCATCGTAAATGTTCCTATAAACAAGTGTTTAATTAAGCTGCTTATTCAAATGATTGTACACACTTAAAGGTCATTCAAACAAATTGAGATTAATTTTACAATAATGTTGAAACAATGTCAACAAAAATTTTTAGCAAGAAAAAATTGTACCAACAATTTACATGCTTCCTCAGTTGAACAAAAATATTGTATACTATTAATAAGTTTTATGCTAAGTAAATTTGCCACATGATTAAGAACATTAATTATATTTGATTCAGAACATTCTAGAACTAAAGTAATGCCTTCTTTCAAGTCACTATTTTATGCTTCAAACATCCAGCCTGAACAAAATTAAGGGTTTGTTTAGAGCACCGTTAATGGTGCTACAATAGCACAAAAAGACGTTTTCTCTACTACCTTTTTCTACAAATAGAAGAACAAGACACGTTAGACTGAGTTGCTATCTCCCACGTCAATTTGATAATTGTCATGACTTCAACTTAACGTAGTGAAACTGAATTTCTAATGAGACACTAATTTAAGATCATGTAACAAACAACATAAAATCAAGATCTTTTCATTTATGTTTTATTATTCATACAAAATTCACAAAAAAGAAAGAGAGTTGAAATAATGAGACTCCATGACATTACAATAATGAAGACCTCATTCTAAATATCTAAAAAACTTTGAATGCAAGATGCATCGGAGTATACTGAAAAACCGTTTCTTGCATACACTTCGGACTGAAATTTAGTCTAGATTCTAGCAGAGCCCTCTCCACTGTGTTTTAGCATGTATTCTTTCTTCATTTCCTCCAAAACAGAATCATTGGTGCTGTAAAGAAATTACAGAGAGGTATCAATTTCTCATTCACAGCAGTGTGTAGGCAATTAAGCTGATGATAATGGCAGCAAGAGAGACAACAGAAAATCAAATTTCACACGAAGAACAAGCATGATAAACAATAATTAATGCTAATATTGACTGGCATTTCTCCACCTAGGTCAGAGACTCGAAATGGAAATTAAGTAAATTTTACTTAGGTCTCGGAACAAAAGCGATCTAAGCAGTGAAACTGTATTGACAGAAAGCACACAATAAATGGATATGGAGTTCCCAGTTCCATCACCTCTTCACGCAAAAGAAGTACGAGGGACCACAATCAGTTTATCATCAGGCTAGTATGCTATGAATCTGTTATATGTCAAATTTGTGTTTCCATGATTTCAAAATTACCAAAGATGAAACAAAGAAAAGAAAGAGTGAGTACTATTTAGGCAATCTAGAATTTTGGCTCGCACAAATGAAGTCATGTAAACCAAATCATGCTTAAATTGTCTTATAAAAATCTTTACACAAACTAAAATATCACTAGAAGATTGGAATTTCAGTTGGTAATCCACCCAAGCACAAACCTAGACACTAATCATTGGGAGGTAATATATGCACCTAAAATCAGTTGCCAAAGTACTTTGAGCCCCATTTGCAAAATAGAGTGAGCAAAACAGGTAGTTAGGTTATTTCTATTTCACATTTTTGTGAGATTACTTGACCATATATAAACTTCATCTTAAGCTGTGAATGAGCAGTAACTACTAACTAGGCATTATGCTAAGGTATCTTTGGGAGAGGAGTTTTAGAGGAAAAGGGAAGGGAGGACAATTATTTTTTTAAAATTAAGTGAAATTATATACTGGTTATATAAATAAATAAAAAGATTAGGACACTAAGTTTCTTCTAATCTATTCTTTTATTTATTTTATTTTAAAAATTATCAAATGAGACAATACTTGTTGAAAATGATAAAACATGCCCTCCCTTCCCTTCCCTTCCAAAATCCCACTCCTATAACATTGACCTTAGATGTGTTGTTAGTTCAAAAATAAGGATAATTCATAATCATCAATATCATTATTTTTAACCACCATGAATGGTTCAAAATGCAGTATTTTTTGCTGTTTATTCAAGTAGCTTGCAGAAAGACAGATTTAGCCTGCAGATATCCCAAGATGCATCCATCCAGTGTATGTGTGTAACATTCCTCTAACCACAGAATAAGTGGAAGGTTCAGAAATATCCATGGTTAATATCAGACAAACATATGGCAAGACATCGTTGGCCAAGGGCTACCATTTCTGCATACCAGTGAATGAAACCTAAATGACTTCTATTAATTGTTGGACTTCATGTATCTGTGAATATACCAAACAAGCGAATCTAGAAAAACATCGTTTCTCAGTCACACTAACAGTTGGAAATTGGAACAATATAAAGTTTACAAAGCACTGAAACACTGCCAGATAAAAGTTGTAGTCCTCAAGGAATGGTCACTTTGCCCTCTAGGACCTCATATATGGTATAATTGTTATTAGTCATTCTGGATCTATTTGAGAGTTAAGTTTTGGAGAGGAAGAGAAGGGAGGGTAATTTTTTATTTCTTATTAACATTCTCTAGTTTCATACTTTTTTGGATATAAAAGTCATAAAATGATAAATTAATATACACTTAATGTGCCAATCTTTTATTTACTTTTATAAATATAATATATCTCTTTAAATTTGAAAACAAAATATTTGCCCTCCCCTTCCTTTTCCTCCAAAATTCAACTCCCAACATCAAGGACTATTGACTAGAAAGCATTTTATTCGTAGTATAAATGTACATTGACAACACAAGGATATTAAAGACTACATTTATTACAAACATTCTTATACATATCATAGAATGTATGAACAGATGCATTTAACTTGGATGAATGGAATTGACAACCATCCAAGAATTGAATCAAAGGAATCAAATCAATGATTCATTTCATAACAGAGCTTACAATTGATGCAGACAATCATTCAATTCTTTAGCTTGTCGGCGACATTGCCAAACAACTGAAAATGTTCTCCCCGAAGCGCATTCAGCATATTTCGCTGTGTAATGATCACACTCTTTCAGTGCCTTCTGCTTCATTTTGCTGCGCAAAGCTGAAAAATTGATAATATACATACACATTAGTCTCACTTTAAAGAAACTTCAGAAAAATAAAATAAAAAAAGAAGCTTGATCTTATTCTTAATCATTACACCACTTTTGGTATCATATGAGAATGGCCCATTTGAATTAAACTCACGATTAATGCAAAGGGTATGCATTTCTTCTTCCAAAATCAAATTTTTGCTATTATTTGTGAGAAATCAAACGGTGGGTTTAGGGTTTATAGGTGAAGTAAATAGGTAGTACCTTCTTCCACTTTCTTCTTGACGTGATTCTCGCGTGCGTCTTGAATGTAACCCATTGAAGTTTTAGGTTGTTCGTCTAACACAGCCGATTCACTAAACAATAGCTCGTTGCAGCTTCAAGGGAACAGGTGTTCAAGTGAAAAACACAAATGAATAAATAAAAATTAAAAAATAGAAAAAATGTGTGTGGTACTTGGTTTTGGTTTGTTTGTCGTCGTGACTTGGGAAGAACACTTCCTTATTTTTCTAATATATGTGTGAGAAAATTACAAAATGTATAAAAAATATTTTTTTTATTTTTTTATAAAAATAAAATAGAACATTTTTTATTTTTATTATAAAAAATAAATAATAGATTTAAGATGTATTAATTGTTAATTTTTTTATATTATTTTTTTATTAGAATTATTAAATATACAAATTACTAATTATATTATTTAATATTATAAATACTTTTAAAATAAAATTTATATTTATAAAAAATATAATAAAATTAATTACTTTCTTTAGTTTTAATGATTTAATTTTTTATTTTTTATAAAAAGACTGGAGAGAGTATATTTTTAAAATATTTATGAGATGGTAATGTATGAATTAATTTAATTTCTAAATTTTTAAAATTTTAATTTAGTTTTATTTGTGTTAAAATCTAGTAAAACAAGTTTTTAAATATTTGGGCTAAACATTAGCCCAATAACTAGACAAACAACATAATTTAGCAAAGAATGATGTGTGGACTTGTCAATAATTATATTTTTATTAAATTTTTTCTTAGACTATTTTTAGTATGATTATTTTATTATTAATTTAAGGTGTCTTTTTACTATTCGTATGTTATTTTATAATTATTTTTCATTGTAAATATTGAATTAATTTTTAAATTAAAATAAAACATTATTAAGAAAGAATCGAACCAACTTTGAAGTAGTTATAAAAAAAATTATTTATTGTTTTTTTTTCCTCAAGAACTAAAGACTCGTTTGAAAAAAGTTTATAAATAGATTATAATTCTCATAAGTTATTTTTAATTTATTTTAATAAAATTTATTATTAAATTTAAGATATAATTATTATTTTAAAAACTTATAAAATAAATGATTAAATAAACTATTATCCAAACATATCTTAAATAATAAAAAAAACCAGATGAATTCACGATATTAATAAGAATTATGTTATCTACAGTAATTTTTTTCTTATTGAGACGATGAATAAGTTCCTTCAATATCTTATATACTTTTTTTACCTGTGTATTTTGATCTCAATAATCTAGATATTACTTTTCATAAACATGTTATCCTAACACAAAAGTAATTACCTTTTATTTTATTTTTCTAATCTTTATCCTTTGTTGCTTTGGTTAGTTCTTGCCCCTAGAACTATCGTGTATAAACCTCTTAAAAATTTCATAAGAGAAACAGAAATTTTCATCAAATTTTATTTATCACGAGACTATAATTTTGATAATATATATATATACTACACAAGATTATGGCAGTTTACTGTTTGAATTATCGTCTGATTAATTTATTTTGCTGTCAGTTATTTCCTTGTCGATAATTTTCTATCCAATTTATTTCCTCAACCACTTGTTTGTCAAATGGTTATGTTTCATTTCTTGTCAAAGTTTATTTTCTGACCTTTTTTAATAAAAAAAAATGCATATGTAACATTAAAGAACCTTAACATCATATTTTAATTAATTTATAATTTATTGGCATTAATTTTAAGTATATAAAATTGCTAAGTTTTGAATATAATAAACATTTTAAAAAACTCATGTTAGGCATTTTCATTAATTTTATAAAGTTGTCTGCAAGGTGCAGTAGCACTAGGTTTTGTTGAGTGCTTTTTGTGTTTGTGTTTCTATTCAATTCAAACAGATTACAAAAGGCAAACACTTACTCGTCAACCTCACGCAAGTGATTGCCATCTGATAATCTTCTTCACTTCACTTCACTCAACTGTGAAACCTTCTTTGCTTAATGGATTCTCATTCTCACATCATCGCTTGGTTTGCTTTTTTTCTCTCTCTCTCTCTCTCTCTGTTTCTCGTAACTCTCTTTCTCTCTCTTCACTCACCACAACAGTGACACTTCAGGGGCTCCGGCGAAGATGGGCAACTGGGAATTGGCAACAACGAAGAGAAGGAATGGGTTTGCGTCGTTAAAGCCCTTCAATCTCACCGTCTTCGCTCCGTCGTAGCTGGCAGCAGAAACTCCCTTGCCATTTGTGATGATGGCAAAGTAAGTTTTTCTTCTTCAATTCGTTGAAAACAAAGGTGGGTATATCTCAAAATCTTATATATATATTTGTGGGGTGTTGTTTTTGCTGTAGTTGTTCACTTGGGGTTGGAACCAAAGAGGTACACTTGGACACCCTCCTGAGACCAAGACTGAAAATGTTCCCAGCCAGGTTAAGGTTCTTTCCAATGTTAAAATTGTTCAGGTATTTATTTGTTCTCTTCATTTCCATTTTCTTAATGATGTCTGTTTTTGGTTGTGTTGTTGGTGTTTGGTCTATATATATCTGGGTGTGTGTGTGTGTGTGAATTGATGGTTGAGTTGTGGTTTGTGTTAGGCGGCTATTGGTGGGTGGCACTGTTTGGCTGTCGATGATCAGGGAAGAGCGTATGCCTGGGGTATTCATTTCATTTTCACACTACACAATTCTTTTACTATTTCCTATAACAAGAGTATTCTTCAAATTAGAATTAACGTAATTCAAAGTCGTAATGTCATTAAACATAATAAAGTGTCTTTTCATTTTCCACTTTGACGATCATATGGCCTCCTTTTGTTTTTTTATATAGTTTCTCATCTATACTTGATTTGGTCTCTTATTAGTTGAATTAGTTTTTGGACTAAGGGTGTGTTTGGGTAAACTACTTAAGCAGGAACTTTTTGAAATTCTAAGAGCAAACGTAATTGATGCAGGTGGAAATGAATATGGGCAGTGTGGCGAAGAACCTGAGCGCAAGGATGACACGGGTAGACCTTTAAGGAGAGATATAGTGATCCCTCAGCGCTGTGCTCCTAAGCTTGTTGTTCGCCAGGTAACTTATGCATTCAAGTGCTATGCAATGATGGAACAAAAATGATTTGCCGTTGTTTTGTTAAAGAGCTAGTCCTACTTTTGATAAACTCTAAATGAAACCATCGAAAAGGAGTTTGATGTAAATGGAATCTTAGGAGACTTTGTTTTTGAAAGAACAATATGGTGTAATTTAATCCATGTAGCTTTGTTGTTGTTATTGTTCAATTCCCATATAAGTTTAGTAAGATATTAGACTAGACAATGATTTGGTTTCCAGATGTTTAAGTTGCTCTTGCTTGTTTCTTAACCAGCTACGACAGGGGAAAAAAGTGTTTATATTTCTTAAGTTTAAACCAAATTACAGCTCCTGATATGTTGGAAAGCAATTGATGCATCTGAGATTCATTGTGCTTATTGATCCATGTAAGGGCGTCTGAGGCATGTTCAAGCTAAAGTGGGTTAAACTCTAATAAGCAATACACCTCTAAATTTATAATTTTTTAGTTGACCTATTCCTAATTTTATTTTAAATGTTTAAGTTAATTTTTAAACTTGAAATTTGTGAGATGTGCTCCGGCCATAGCAGGGGTAAGTCTATAACCTTTTCTTCAGCCAGTGATGTGACGGTACAAAAATTATTTTGTAGCTACAGAAAGGTTTAGTTGTTCCTTTCAGATTACTATGTATGTGGTGCATTTAGGTGGCATGTAATCCGAATTGGATTTGGTGTTGTGAGCTTAACTGGCTTGATAAATTTAATTTAATTCTTTTTCTAATCAAGTCATTATGCAATAAATGTAGTCCTACAGTGTTTGGACTTTGGGTTTGTATAGGAAATTCTATGTCTTTATTTTAATCAGTGCATCATCTGCATATTCAAGTTCATGGCTTTTGCTTGTTTGTTGTTTGATATTTTTCTACTTGCTGGTTGGTGCAGGTTGCAGCTGGTGGAACTCATTCAGTGGTACTTACCCGTGAAGGGCATGTTTGGACATGGGGTCAGCCTTGGCCTCCTGGTGACATGTAATTCTTTTTTGGGGGAATAAAATAATACTTATTGTGATGAAGGCAATGAATTGTAAAGAAAAAGGTGGATAAAGAATCTTCCTATATAATGAACAGAACAGAAAACACCAAGGAAAAATATAAAATGTGATTAGGCGTCCCAAATTCCTAATTAAATACCCATTAAAAGGGTCATGTGCTTCACCCCAAACAAATAGCAAATGCCCAGTCTTTCTCAAATAAAGTGACATGTCAAAGAAGCCTCCTTAAAGATACTAGAGTTCGGCACCAACCAAATGCTCCAAATTGTAGTGTAGATTTATTTCACTTTGATCTAAAAATTTGGCCTCTTTACCTGTACCAAAAAATAGTTAAGCTTGATCCAGCATTTTATTTTCTTGGGGTTATTTACACAATTATGTCACTTTTTCTGAATGTGAACTTAAATTTTCATATTAAGATGCTTTTTTTCATCTTAGGTAACTAAACAGTTTCTACTTTATGCTGTCTTCTAAATTTTTTGCTTTATCTTGTAGAAAACAGATTTCAGTCCCTGTTCGGGTGCAAGGTCTTGAAAATGTGAGGCTCATTGCCGTTGGAGCATTTCATAATTTGGCTCTTCAAGAGGATGGAACTTTATGGGCATGGGGTAATAATGAATATGGACAACTTGGAACTGGAGATACCCAGCCAAGATCACAACCTATTCCTGTTCAAGGGCTTTCTGGACTTACTTTGGTTTGTTTCTCATTCTGCAAAATCATGTTAATTTCCTCTTCTCTTTTGTGTCAGCAGACAGAATGATATAATTTGCTGTATATACAAATGATGCTAATTTCTGTTTGAACCAAGAATATGAAATTCCAAGATGGTTTGTAGAACTCTACTCTTAATTTTATTAGCAAGTGACACAGTGGATTTCATGTGATGCTTCAGCAAAGAAAGCACAGTAATTTTAGTAGCTTTTATGCTCATAGCCAGCTTTATGAGCTTCATAACATGCCCTGTTTGTTCTGACGGGATATTTTTATGCACATGGTAACTGTGCGATGTTATTATCTATTAATGAATGCAATACTATGTGGAGTTCTGTTTTTATGCCTACTGACACATAGGAATGAGCATGTATGTATATAAGAATTTATGTGATGAATTTTATGACGGAGAAGCAATGACAAATAATTGCTCAAGGATCATATGAAACTTAACAACATAGGAATTAATATGATGTATAGAAAAAAATGGCAAATATGACTATCTCCTAACTGAACAAGGTTAAAAGTTGGGAAAGATCAAGATTGGAACAGGAAAGATGTGGATATGGGTTTTTGGAGGTAATCCCTTTATAGATATTGATCGCAACATTTCTGACTCTTTCTTTGATATTGCTACCTGAGTCCTTTTGTATTTCCTATTTTTCCTTGCCAAGCTGAGGATGTTATTTAAGTTGTGTAGCAAAATGGTCTACACATTATGAACAGATTGTGCTTTGATACCTTTTCTAATGCTTCAAGAAACACAGTTGGCCCAGAGGCAGCATGAGGAATAGATTGTTTTCACCATGTTCTATACAAAACGTTAAAACATGAAACAAATTCGAAACAAGGTAACTCTTTTGTAATTATTTGCAGAAACAGGAAATGAAGAGAGAATGTCATCTCAAACCAAACAGATCCTTAGTTGTTGAGATATATATTTTGCAGATATAGCTGAATATGCTTTAACAATTCATGTTCTTCAAAATCAGATGTATCATTCAGAATGTAGGCATATATCATTTTTATGATGTGTGTGGATGAATTATCTAATTTCTTTTCGTAATCTGTTTGGAACTCTAGGTAGATATTGCGGCTGGTGGATGGCATTCTACTGCATTGACAGATGAAGGAGAGGTTTGTTTTTATGGGATCTATTAGGTTTGCGGTTTGTTTTTATGAAATCTATTGGGTTTAAATTTAAATGTCAAGAAATCCATGTAAAATATTTGGTGTCCATGTTTAACACTTGTGTTTAAACCTTTTATTTTCCTTTTTCTTCTGAAAATAGTTGTTATAGCTGAAAACCATACATGCATCATTTTTTCTGGAAACAGATTTTGTATTATAGTATTAGCTGCATGGTTGACATTTCATTGTTTAGTTTTTTTTTTTTTTCCCAAAGGAGATGCAATTCACATGATCTATGCATATGTGTTTCGGCTTTGTTGTCATAAAGTCAGTGGCAAATAATAATATCTTGATCTTGCATTGCTCAATGCACCCATATTTTCTGTGATTGTTAAGCGAGTAGCATGTTACTGGAACATCATCATTCAATTGAAAGGGAAAAAGCAATATAATATAAAGTGGAAGATATTATTGACGTTAGTGCATATATCTGAGCTGTAACTTCTAGTTTAGGTGCCAACTATGAAGCCAAATAATTAGTTTGCAAATTTAAGTAACTATTAAGTTAAACTAAAGGTGGGACTGTAAGCAATGAATGGAGATAAGCAATATGCTTAGGACACTCATTTGGTTGATAGTGAATACCTTGGCATATGCATAAAATCGGGATTTGAAGAGCCAAAGATTCTTGGTGGATTTTTGATGGCCACATTTTTCCTGTGAGAATAGACTATAATGTTATCTTTGTTCTGAAATTTGTTTTAGGTATATGGCTGGGGAAGGGGGGAACATGGCAGGCTTGGATTTGGTGATAGTGACAAGAGCAGTAAAATGGTACCCCAAAGGGTTCAACTTTTAGCTGGGGAAGATATTGTTCAGGTACTCTCTCTTTAACTACTACTTTCTTGATCAGGTTAATCTAAGTATGGAGCATTGGTGTCATGGCTAAGAAAAGAAATAATATCAATGGTCACTCTCTAACCTTCAATTTAGTTTAAATATTTTGACCTTCAGGAATGACCCATCCAAATGATGAATTTTTTTGTTATAACCACCTTATCACTCATAATCATTAGCTTTCATTGAATGACAAATTCCCAACTACTTTTTTTATGGGATATCTGTTTTTATTCTGAAACTGTACTTGTTGCAGATTGTTAGTGTAATTATCTTTCCTCATCATAACCAAAAACCATGTACCATAAGAAATTGATATAACCTTCTAGCATCAATTTTTTAAGCTTGAGATATGTCTACATTATATCTCACTTGATATTATTGGTGTTCCAAAATGGAGAACCAAAATATCCAAAATTATGGAAAGATATACTGTTGTGAGAGTATAACTTGGCATCCATATTGTTTGCTTTGTATCTCCTACTAATCATCACATCTATTTAACTAGGGGGTAAAAATGGAATAACTGAGAAACTTTTAAAAATATTATAAAAAGGGTTATATAAAGTTTATCTATTTTTTTGTTTGAGATGAAGTTTATTGGTTTGTGGACAGGTGTCCTGTGGAGGTACTCATTCAGTTGCATTAACCCGGGATGGGCGCATGTTTTCTGTAAGTATTTTGTCATCTTAATTGTCTTGTCTTTGATTTGATCAAATGATAGTATCCCTCCAAAAACATTTATAATGATCATTATCAATAGGAGTGTAAATGAGTTGAACTACTGATGAACTATTCACGGTCGACTTGTTAAACGGTAGGCTAAGTTTATTTAATTAAATAAGTAAGCTCAAGTTTAAAGTTAGGTTTAATTATTTAAATAGGTCAATATCAAAGTTTGCAAGCTAGACATTAATAACTCGCATATATATGCATATTTATAATTTATTTATTATATTTACTCAATTTATATTTTTTTTATTATTATCATTATGTGTATATTATTTATCTAATTTAAATTTTCAAGAGTTGTATTTTAAAATAAATGACCATAATTTTTTAAAAAAACATATACCAAAATAAAATTTTAGCTTAATTAAGTTTTTAATTCTTACAAAAGTTGCACAATTTAGACTTAATCCTTATAAATTTTTTTGTTAGGATATAATTTGTACTTTTCACAAACTATTGTTTTTAGTCTGTTTAACTAACGTCATCCATTAAAATACTATTGAATGTCAATTTTTGGTTAGACCACATTATAATTCTATTTTATCTTGTTGTGCATCAAAGGTGGAATAGAATAAGAGTTTATCCTACTTTTATCTTTTTTTTTTGCTTTATTCAACTCTCATATTTTATCCTTTTTTATTTATTCAATTAGTCGGACTCTATAAGATTATAAGATTTTTTTTTACTTAAAACATTTTTGGTCTTTCAAAATGTAACTTTGTTTTAAGTAAAATGTACTACTCAGCTTTTAGAGTTGAGTTTTTTTTTTTTGGTAAGCAGAGTTGAGTTTAAACAACTAATAATAATAAGATTTTGTTGAAAAATAAACATTTATCATACTTTTATATCTTTAATGCAATAAATGTATTATTTTTCAATAAAAAATTACCCTTTTGGAGTATTTAAACTCGGTCATAAGTATTGAAGTTAACAAAACTTTTTGTTTTAATATTCCCACTTTAAATTTTTTGTTGTAGCCCTTACATTTAACATTAACATTACGCATTTAATTCTAAAGTTTATTTGCTTAACTATTTGCAGTTTGGTAGAGGTGATCATGGACGTCTTGGATATGGGAGGAAAGTGACCACTGGTCAACCAATGGAGGTTCCTATAGACATCCCTCCTCCAGAGAATCTGAGTGACAGTGCAACTGAGGGACATTGGATAGCTAAATTTGTTGCTTGTGGTGGCCGCCATACTTTGGCAACTGTAGAATGGAAAGAAGATGAATCTAAAGATTGACTCATAAATTATAAGTAGATGAGCCTAATCACTGATTTCAACTCAGTTCAGCTCATTCATGTGTCCCCTCTGATATTACAATCTTGTCTTTGTATAAATCGTACATGTCACACCAAAACAATACTCATTGTAGTAATGATGGGGTTTGCTTTTTCATGCTCCTAATTTGCATAATCACTTACACCACAAACACACACAGTATGTGTCATGGTAAATGGTTATAAGTGATCTTAGAATACTTGTTAAGGAATACAAAATAAGTTCTTATTAAAAATGTTATTAAAGGCTCATTTGTTGTGCTTTTTTATGTATTTTTAATATTTTAGACTGTCTTAAGGATATTGATTAACATGATTCGTTTATATACGATGTGTGATATAGTTTTAATAAAGTGGAAGATAATTTTCATTTTGTTAACTTCAATTTTAAGAGTTGATTTTAAGTATTTAAAAATAATAAGTGTTTATTGAAAATTTAGTATTTTTTATATTCTTAAATTCTTGATATAATAACTGGGTTTTTTATATTAATTTTTTTTTTTTTTAGTTGTCTATTTTTTAAAGTTGGGGTTAACGTTTTTTATAAATCAAAATGTTTTTTTTTTCTTTTTACCCATAATTAAAAATACTCGCACAATAAATAAGATCTTTGTTGACAATGTTGTGAAAACTTTTTTGTCCATGAATGGACAACAGTGAGGACATTGATTGACAATTCATTAGTCCAATTGTTAAATTGTGATTGAATCGATAATAAATATAGTTATTATTATATAAAATATTAAGTAATAAATTAATAAAATATAGAAAAATTATTTTGAATAAGTAAAATTTTAAATTTACTTACAAAATGACTATATTATAATTCAATAATAGCAATTCACAAGTCAGTTTCACATCAGAAGAAGAAAATAGTATAAAAAATATATAATTTGAATATAAGAAAATCAGAAGAAGAAAAATAGTAGAGAAATTTATTTTTATTTGTTTATATTAAGAAAAAAAGTAGAGAATTATTTATTTTCTATGAAGAAATTTAGTATAAAAATTTACAACAATTTATTAAGTTTCTTATAAAACTTTTTAGGAATTAAAAAGGTAAGAAAAGTTTATGATTTTCTACAATTTTTTTACCAATATTTTTACAAAAAAAAATTGAAAAAAAAATTGCAGTAATTGTTAAAAGTTCTTTCATTGTTTCTTAGGAATAAAAATGGTAGAAAAAGCTTAATATTTCTTGCAAATTTTTGTGCAAAAATTTTCATAGAAAAAATTATATGTAAATTTATAGGAAAACTTAATAATTTTATAAATTTTATTGTCAAAATTAGTGTGAAAAATATTTGCAACAAAATCCGTATAAAATATCTTTTTCAAATTTAAAATAAAAATATCATTTATTCACAAAAATTAATTAACTAATTTTCTCATTACAAGAAAATAAAATAAATTTTTTAAAATATAAAACAATTTGAAGATAGTTATAAATAATTTAAGAAAATTTTATATTAATTTAAATAAAAAATATTTTCTATTGACAAAAGATATTAATTAATTTTAAGTTAAATAGTAATTTTAATTTTTTACATGATTTACTTATTATTTTAGTATTTATGTAAAAAAATTATATTTTAACTTTCATATAATTTTGTTAAAATTAATATTTATTATTATTGAAATTATAAGAGAGTATTAATATATTTTTTATTAAATATTAAAATAAAAAATAATATATTATATGTAATATTAAATTATAAAAATTTTATAAAAATAAAAATAATCTATTATATATTTTTTACTAAGAGCAGCATTGATGTGAACAATAAATAATTTTTCTGCCTACGGAATGTTGTTCAGGTGAAGCACTGCTGAAAAATTAGCTTGTCCAATATGTATAGAAAAAATAAAAACTTTTAGATTAACAAAAGGAAAAAAAAAATGTCTTGGTTTGATTGTCATCGTCAATATTTGTCCCATAATCATGCTTTTAGAAAAAATAAGGATTCATTTTACAAAAATAGAATTGAAAAATCTATGCCTCCACCTCAATTAAATGGAGAACAAGTGTGGGAAATTGTTTGTTAAATTTCTAAGATAACTGCAATGCTTCTACGCAATTTAGACGGTGATCCACCCAATTTTCCAGAGTATGGACATTCCCATAATTGGACCAAAAGAAGCATATTTTATGATTTACCATATTGAAAATATCATTTGTTAAGACACAATCTTAATGTTATGCATATAGAAAAAAAATTGTATTTGACAATGTATTTCACACTATTATGGATAACAAAGAGATGACTAAGGATAATAAAAATGCACGATTAGACTTAGCAGAGTTTTGTCATAGAAAGGAGTTATTATTAAAAACAACTAATAATGGAAAGCTTACAAAACCCAAAGCCAATGATCAGAAGAATGATGTTTGTGAATGGGTGAAAGGGTTAAAGATGCCAGATGGTTATGCTTTAAACATTGCTAGATGTGTGGATATGAAACATAAAAGATTGTTTGGGATGAAAAGTCATAATTGTCATATTTTTATGAAATGTCTACTTCCAATAGCTTTTAATGCACTTCCTAAACCAATATGGAAGCCCTTGACTAAACTTAGTCAATTTTTTAGAGACTTGTGTTCAATGATGTTACAAGAAGACCATTTATCATAAATGGAAGAAAACATTCCTATTATTGTGTAAATTAGAGCGTATATTTCTACCTGGACCTGCATTATTTGATTGTATGTAGCATTTATTAGTTCATTTGCCTTATGAAGCTAAGATGGGTGGACTAGTTCAATATCGTTGGATGTATCCTTTTGAAAGGTAACATATTATAAAACCCTTTCTAATTTTATATCTTGAATACTTTACAATAATTCTTCTAATCAATTGATTTATGTTTAGGTTTCTAAATAAAATTAAAAAAATGGTGAAAAACAAAAAATGTGTGAAAAGGTCAATATGTGAAGCATACTTGGTGCAAGAGACATCTTATTTCAGCTCTCATTATTTTGTACCTCACATACAACACTCAAGTACAGTTAGTGTAAATGAAACGTTCAATGAAGAGAATATTGATCCAAATTCAGTACTTATTTTTCAAGGAAAAACTTCTTCAAAGTCCTTGGAACAACCCAATAAAAAGAGTAAAGATGTGAAGTGTTTCAAATACATGGGCATGAGACACTATGCTTATGAGTGTCCTACCAAAAAGACCATGATTCTCAAGGATAATGGGGAGTACACTAGTAAATCTGAAACTAGTGAGAGAGAAGAGAATGAAGACGTGGAGGAAAAAGAGGTCACAGAGGGAGATTTGTTGATGAGAAGGAGGTTGTTAGGTAGCCAATTGAAGCCTTTGGATGAGTCCCGAAGAGAGAACATTTTTCACACTAGATGTTCTATCAATGGGAAGGTTTGCATGGTGATTATTAATGGAGGAAGCTGCACCAATGTGGCTAGTGCTAGATTAGTGTCAAAACTAAATTTGGCCACTAGACCACATCCTAGGCCATACAAACTTCAATGGCTTAGTGAGGATGGAGAAGTACAAGTAAGACAGCAAGTAGAAGTGAAAATTTTCATTAGAAAATACAAGGATAATGTGCTATGTGATGTAGTTCCAATGGAGGCCAGCCACATACTTTTGGAGAGACCATGGCAATTTGACACTAGAGCCATCCATGATGGTTATTCCAACAAGACCTCTTTCATGCACCAAAATAAAAAAATTGTACTCAAACCATTGAGTCTTAAAGAGGTATGTGAAGATCAAGTGACGATGAGAGAAAGGATTGCTCAAGAGAGGAAAGAATTGCAACAAGAGAGTAGTCTTAAAAAGGAGAATGACACACTTGAGAGAAAAATGAGTGAAAAGGAAAAGAGTGAAGCGCTTGAGAGAAAAAAAGTGTTGTTTGGCAAAGAAAAATGAGGTGAAGAGGTTGTTTCTTGCTAAACAGCCCCTATACCTATTGTTTTGCAAAAATTAGATTTTGAATACTAACAATTTTGATGATTTTGAATTGCCTTCTAGTGTTAAATCTCTTTTGCAGGATTTTCAAGATATTTTTCCTTCAAGTGTACCAAGTGGTTTACCACCATTGAGGGGGATTGAACATCAAATTGATCTCATTTCGGGAGCATCTTTACCCAATAGGCCAACATATAGAAGCAATCCACAAGAAACAAAAGAAATTCAAATACAAGTGGATGAGCTCATGAGCAAAGGATGGGTAAGAGATAGTATGAGTCCATATGTTGTATCGGTAATTTTAGTCCCTAAAAAGGATGGAACATGGAGAATGTGTTCGGATTGTAAAGCCCTGAATAATATCACCATAAAATATAGGCATCCTATACCTAGGCTTGATGGTTTGCTTGATGAATTTTATGGTGCATGTTACTTCTCTAAAATTGATTTAAAAAGTGGATATAATCAGATTAGGATTAGAGAAGGGGATGAATGGAAAATTGCTTTTAAAACAAAATATGGTTTGTATGAATGGTTGGTTATGCCTTTTGGTTTAACTAATGCACCTACTACTTTCATAAGATTGATGAACCATGTTTTGAGGGAAGTTATTGGCACATTTGTTGTGGTGTACTTTGATGATATTCTTGTTTATTGCACTACTCTAGAGTTTCATCTTGAACATTTGAAATATGTTTTGTGTGTGCTTAGAAAGGAACAATTGTATGCCAATCTTGAGAAATGCATTTTTTGTACTGACCACATTGTATTCCTTCACTTTGTTGTTAGTTCTAAGGGAGTGCAAGTAGATGAGGAAAAGGTTAAGGCCATCCAAGAATGGCTCACACCTAAAATCGTGAGTGATGTAAGGAGTTTTTATGGTTTGACAAGTTTTTATAGGAGGTTTGTTAAAAGACTTTAGCACCTTGACAGCACCTCTTAATGAAGTGGTTAAAAAAAATGTGGTTTTTAAATGGGGAGAGAAACAAGAAGAGGCCTTTGCTGCCCTAAATCATAGGCTAACAAATGCACCAATTCTTGCTTTGCCTAATTTTGATAAATCTTTTGAAATTGAATGTGATGCATCCAATGTGGGAATTGGGGCTGTTTTGTTACAAGAAGGTCATCCAATTGCTTATTTTAGTGAAAAGTTAAGTGGGGTTGCTCTTAACTATTCCACTTATGATAAAAAAAAATTGTATGCCTTAGTAAGGGCTTTAAAAACATGACAACATTACCTTTTACTCAAGGAGTTTGTGATCCATAGTGATCATGAGTCTTTAAAGTACTTAAAGGGACAAGGCAAGCTTAACAAAAGGCATGCCAAGTGGGTTGAGTTTTTGGAACAATTTCCCTATGTTATAAAGCATAAAAAAGGGAACATTGTAGCCGATGCTTTATCTAGGAGACATGCAGTACTTTCCATTCTTGAAACTAAGTTGTTTGGACTCCAATCTATGAAAGAAATGTATGTGAATGATGAAGTTTTTGGTGATATATATGTTGCATGTGAAAAGATGTCTAAAAATGGTTATTATAGGCATAATGGTTTTTTATTTAAAGAAAACAAATTGTGTGTGCCTAAATGTTCCATTAGAAAACTGCTTGTTAGAGAATCACATGAAGAGGGATTGATAAGTCATTTTGGAGTTAAAAAGACTTTGGAAACTTTACAAGAACATTTCTTTTGGCTCTATATGAAACATGATGTGCATAAATTTTGTGAGCATTGCATTGTGTGTAAAAAGGCTAAATCCAAAGTAATGCCACATGGTTTATATACTCCTTTGCCTATTCTCGAATATACTTGGATTGACTTGTCTATGAACTTTGTTTTAGGGCTGCCTAGAACAAAGAGTGGCAAAGATTCTATTGTTGTTGTTGTTGTTGATAGGTTCTCTAAGATGGCTCACTTCATACCTTGTAAAAAGGTAGATGATGCTTGTCATGTGGTAGAATTGTTTTTTAAAGAGATTGTGAGGCTCCATGGATTGCCTAGAAGCATTGTGAGTAATAGGGATGCCAAGTTCCTAAGTCACTTTTGGAGGACTCTGTGGGAAAGCTAGCTGATGAGGCGTTGGATTTGTGGTCAAATCCTCTTCAAGAGGGAGGGAATAATGAAGACATGGTTAAAGACAAGAGGAACAACACACTTGAATGACTTGGGGGACCTATGACTAGAGCAAGAACTAAGAAGGCTAAGGAGACTATAAACCAAGTGGTAGCAACAATTCTTGAAGTTGCCCCTAAATTGGAGGACTTAGAGCCTAAATTGGTTCATTGCATTGTTCCAATTAAAGACTCGAAATGCAAGAAGGGCTGCTAGTATTTTTATTTTATTTTTATTATTTTAAAAGCATTGTATGCTACTAAATAAAGTTTGTCATAAGTTTAAGTGGGCTGCCATATGAACATACGAATTTAGCTCAATAAAATCTAGTTATTGTTATTTCTTTTATTTTCATTATGTTTTAATGGGCTAGCTAGCCCATAATAACTTTTAGGGCTTTTTGGCTGCTAAGTGGCAGCCTCCTATATGTATTCACATTTATATCAATGAAAGTATATTTGGATTATCAAACAAAACTTTGTGTGAGAGTGATTCTCTGAGGTCTTGGCTGAACCAAGTTTGAGATTATTAAGGGCTTTCCACCTCCCTTATGGCGTCTTTGTGGCTTATCTTTCTCCCTGAAAATGACGCCACCCATTATCACCACTACCTTCCCCTTGAAACCCTAAATTTTCCAATTTTCATCCAAAACAAGTCATGCTCATAACTTTCATTTTACAATTTTTCAATGATTATGGAATCAAAATTGCTTCCCAAAACGTGAAGATTCACCTCGTTTTGGTCTCGTTCAATTTCGAGTTTCATAACTTGAGATATAGTTTTGAGTTCGTAAACGACATTCTCCAACCCCGCGCTTTTTTTTTATCTAAGAAAGGTCCTCTTTCAGAATTCCAGCAAAGGAATTCCTATCAATTTTTATAGCACTACTTTAGAGTTGCATCTTGAACATTTGAAATATGTTTTGTGTGTGCTTAGAAAAACCTCTAAACTTACATCTAATTACATTCTAATACTACTTAATATTAAAGAAAACATAAATTACCGAAAACTGAAAAAAGGATGTTACATCTCCTACTTGGTCCCATTTGTGACCTTATTAGCCAAATTAATCCCCCTCAATTGATGGGGGTCAAGATTAGGTTTACTGGAAATGCTCAAACAATGGAGTTTTCTCAATCAAATCAGCTTATAACCTTTTGTCTAATCTGAATAATAATGCCTTTGATAATAATCCTATCTTTAAGCAGTATGGGATTAGGAGGACTTGCCTAGAATTTCTATCTTTCTCTGAAAAATTGCTTATTGTAGGTTATTAACTAATAAGGAAAGATTCATCCGCAAAATGGCAAACTCTCCTGTGTATGCTAGATGTGGTGAGGCATCTAGATTGTCATCTATGTCCTTCGGGACTGTTGGGCTGCTAGAGAAATAAAAAATTGATAGGAATTCCTTTGCTGGAATTCTGGAAGAGGACCTTTCTTAGATAAAAAAAAAGCGCGGGGTTGGAGAATGTCGTTTACGAACTCAAAACTATATTTCAAGTTATGGAACTCAAAATTGAACGAGACCAAAACGAGGTGAATCTTCACGTTTTGGGAGCAATTTTGACTCAACAATCATTGAAAAATGATTGTAAAATGAAAGTTATGAGCAGGACTTGTTTTGGATGAAAATTAGAAAATTTAGGGTTTCAAGGGAAAGGTAGTGGTGATAATGGGTGGCGCCATTTTCAGGGAGAAAGATAAGCCACAAAGACGCCATAAGGGAGGTGGAAAGTCCTTAATAATCTCAAACTTGGTTCAGCCAAGACCTCAGAGAATCACTCTCACACAAAGTTTTGTTTGATAATCCAAATATACTTTCATTGATATAAATGTGAATACATATAGGAGGCTGCCACTTAGCAGCCAAAAAGCCCTAAAAGTTATTATGGGCCAGCTAGCCCATTAAAACATAATGAAAATAAAAGAAATAACAATAACTAGATTTTATTGAGCTAAATTCGTATGTTCATATGGCAGCCCACTTAAACTTATGACAAACTTTATTTAGTAGCATACAATGCTTTTAAAACAATAAAAATAAAATAAAAATACTAGCAGCCTTAATTTGTTATAGAAGTTTTCATTAATTTGTTATAATTAGTTCATTGAATTCTACAAATGATATTTTATTTTAAACGATTAAGAATAATTTATACATTGTACATATTTTGAGATAAGGATGTTACAGGAAACTCCTGATTCTAGGCCAATCCCAACAATCTTTATGGAAAAACAAAAAGACTGGCTTGTTTAAATCATCCTCAGAGAGAGGGTAGAGAGCAAAATTTGTTAGGTATTGAGGATTATTAGTCCAACTATCCTACCAAAAGTTAGTTGAAAGGCTATTGCCAATAAGCCAACATAATCCTTTACTGAAAGAGTCCCAAACAGAGACAATACTCTTCTAAATAGGGGAGGAATTTTAGTTGTTACAAAAAGAATGTTTTCCCAGTACAGAACTTATATTTATAACTAATAACCTTGGTCCATAATTCATTAGGAGTTGTGAGAAGCCTCCAGCACAAATTCATTATAAAGGCCTAATTTATAATATTAATATCCCTAAACCTCAAACCCCCATCACTTTGGGTCTACAAACTTTATCCCAACTAATTAAGTGACATTTCATATCATTCAAAGATTCCCAAATGAAATTTTTATAGATACTATTGATTTCTTTACAAATGGCTTTAGGAATGGTCATAGTTTGCAAGAAATAGTTGGGAATACTCATAATGCAGGATTGGGCTAGAGATACTCTTCCAGCAAGGGATAGAGTGTTCATTTTCCAGACAAAGTTTTTGCTTGATTTTATCAATTATAAAGGTAAAATCTTTCCTAGAGGAGCTAAGAGGACTAATAGGTATTCCTAAGTATTTTCCAATCTAAGAAGATTTAAATCCTAAAGTTTGGCTAATGTCCTAAATAAGAGCAGGATCACAGTTCCTAGAAAAATAGATAAATAATTTCTCTTTATTAACTGAAAGACCAGAGGCAGCACTAAAACTATCCAAAATAGATTTGATTGTCCAAAATAGATTTGATTGTATCAGTATTCTTCCTATTAACCCTAGCTAAGAGGATAATGTCATCGGCAAAGAAAAGATGAGAGATTTTTGGGCTAAAGGAACTAATAGAAAATGAGGTCTAGTCACTCTTGTCAACCATATCCTAAATAAGATGGCCAAGTTTTTCAATACACATGACAAAAAGATAAAGGAATATAGGGTCCCCTTGCCTTATTCCCCTGCTAAGTTTGAAGGTTTGGGTTCTGCTATTATTCCAATTAATAGTAAAAGGGGCAGAGGAGATGCAATGGTTTATCAAATAAGCTATATTAGGACTGAAGCCAATTTCCTAAATAGTTTTTGCAATAAAATTCCATTTAATTCTATCATAGCCTTTTTTAAAATCAAGTTTTATTATCATGAAATTATTTTTGGTTTTCATGTTATGAAAAGAGTGAACAGTCTCGTGTAATATGATGGTATTATCTATACCTTGCCTACTATGAACAAAACTAGTTTGGTTGGTTGAAATGATATGAGACAAAAAAATCCTAATTTTATTAGTTAGAATTTTAGTTAGAATTTTATAACTAACATTACAAAGACTTATAGGCCTGAAATGTTTAATATTTTCGGGGTTATCAAGCTTAGAGATTAAGGTGATGACAGTCTCATTTACACTAGCAATATTAGAAGGATTATTAGAGATATTTGAAACAAACTTAAAAATAAAAAAGGCTAGGAAATACCATTGATTTTTAAAAAATAGGACATGAAGACCATCTGGGCCAAGAGATTTGAAATTTCCTATACTAAACAAGCCAGCTTTAATTTCCACCAAGGTCACAACAGAATTGATAGAGTCTAGATCGATGTTCCTAAGAGGAGGGAAAGTAGCTATAGTGCAAAGGGGGAGATCATTCTAGCTAGGGTCAAAATATAAATTCTTAAAAAAATTAACAGCTCAGTTTTGGAGCTTCAAGGGATCATACTCCCACTCATCCCTTTCATTTCTCATGGCCTCAATTTGGTTTTTTTTGTCTGCGAAAGATAGTAGCTCTATAAAAAAAACTCCTAGTTTAACCCAATTAGTTTTGTAATGGTGAAATTAGAAAACTTCCTCAGCATCTAAAATTTTTTGATAGTTAAGCCACAAGGATTTCATGAGATTACAGAGATAGGAGTTGTCTTTTGCAGTTAATTTATATGAAATTCTCCTAATTCTATTAAGAATGTGCTTTTTTTTGTTTAAAAATATTACCAAAAACATTTGTATTCCAATCAGAAATATTGTTAATAAAGTTGGTAACATTATCAACCCAAGATCTAGATTCAACTTAAAATTTCTTAACTTGATTACTAAAATCTTTATAAGATAGCCAAGGAGCTAGAAATTTAGAGGGTCTATGATAGCTCTTTATGTTGTCCTTACCTCAAACTTTTAACCAAAGGCCAACATGATTAGATTTTAATATAAGGATATGGATGAAGGAGCTATCCTGAAACATCATCCTCCAAGAGTTATTAACAACAGTTCTATCAATCCTTTTCTTAATAGTTCCTCTCTGCCAAGTGAAGGGGTTCCCTTTAAACCTCAAGCCCTGAAGGCCACAATAGTTGAGGAAGTCAGCAAACTGATTAATAAGTCCTAAGTTTGCAGGTCTGCCTCCAACTTTCTCCTTTTCAAGAAGAATGGAGTTAAAATCTTCAGTAACACACCAAGGAATATTGATGGAAGAACTGAAAAAAAAAAAAAAAAAAAAAGCTTCCAGCGCAGCATGCCTCCCCTCTTGGGGACTAACATAAATAGATGAAAAGACCCAGTCCCTCTGCCCATTACTGATTTTAAGGTGAATGAGATAACTATTTTTACTAAGGATAGTAACCTTAACCTTACTAGTATTCTAACAGCATCAAATTCCCCCAGAGAAACCTATAGCATCCACTCTAACACTACCATCCAAATGATTTTTTTTTAATGACCATTTTAGCTTTGTCTAAGTTGACCCTAGGTTCAAAAAGGCAATAAAATCGAGATTATAAAATTTGATTAAGTCTAGGTCTTACCCCCTACTCCTCTACAATCCAAAACATGCAGTTCATGAACTAGGTAGGGTCTTGGATACATCCTCAGGATGCTGGGGAACCTCTATATATCTATTACTCCTACAAGGGCTATTAGGACAAGTAGAATCATTTCTATTTATTCTGTCTACCTCCATTGTTACAGGAATATCAAGAGGCTTATCAGTAGGGACTTGCTCTACAGTCCCCATATTTTTCCAACATAGATAAAGATTTAGACCTATAAGGTCAAAAAAACTATGACTCGTCTTATTATTTTCTTGGAGGTTTTTTTGCAGTTTTGACATCAGTCTCATGATTTCCTTACTTTTTTGGAAAGAGGTATTACTAACTTCTTCTGAGGGGTTCTAGAATTTTGAGAATAACTTTATTTCTTCCTAACTTATTTTTTTACAAGCATCCTAGGACCAAATTGGTCCTCTTTCTTTTCCTCTTAAGGAGGTGAGCATTCCATAGCCATATGTCCATACTTAGGAATTTTCCTTGATTATCTCTTCCCCTACCAATTGATTCAATCTCATGTTCTCTATCTGAAGATATGTGGTTAACAGAAACTATACATTAACCTTGCCTATGTCCATACTTCTCATACTTAAAACAGATTAAATGCAACCCTCATATTCTACTTTAAACTCCTGTCCTAAGGCTTTAAAAGATAAAATCAATTCTTTTTTTATATCAATCTCTATGCAAATTCTAGCAAATAATATTATTATTAGTTGAAAAATAAGTTAAAAAATATGTTTTAATACTTTTATGAATTTAGATGTAATTAACTTAAGTGGCATTTTTAATTATAATTTTATTTATAAAATAAATGTTTAATTTATCAAAATTAATAAGAATAGTTATTTATTATAAAAAAAATTACTTAAAAATATCTATAATATAAATTGATGTCTTATATATTAAATTAGTAAATATATCCACTTGTATGTAAAGGGAATAAATAAGAAAATAAAAAATATATATAACAACTAATATATTTAAAAATAAATTTTTATTTTATATTTTAATAAATAAATAAAAACAATAGTTGAATAAAAGCAATAAAAGATAAGATGACGTCAATGGGGACCCGTTTAAAACATTGACATGAAGTGGTACCAAAATTAAAGTCAAACACTTACGATTTATCAGCTTTCATGGAATAATGGCTACATTTATTTTAGGTCCATAAGGTACCTGCATTTCAATCTTTTTTAAATATTATATTTTTAATGAAAATTTAAACAATTTTTTATTGTATATTTTTTATATACATTAAAAAAATCATAATTTTAAAGTATTTTTTCAAAAATGTTTTATGTTTTCTAATCATAATTCCAATTCCTCTAACTTGGATTGAATATATTTTTGTCATTTAAATTTTCTTTTGATTTTTAAGATTAAGTAAATTTGGTCATGTTCATAAATTTTCACTTAAATTTTTTAATTATTTTATTCAAATATTTAGGATTCTATGACGTACTCAGGATATCAAGTATTCTTAAAAATTTAGTGAAATTTTGAAAGATTGTAAAGAATATGAGATTAGAATTAAAAAAAAAAAAATTGTTTCAGTTAGTGATTTTAGTGAAATTTTAGTAAAAAAATTCAAAACTATTTTATTAATTTGCATATTTTAGGTAAAAGAAAATTGATAAGAAGACAAAATATTTTTTTTTCAATTTTGTTACATCAGCATTTTAGGATTAAATTTTAACCCTATATTTTTATTAAGAATGTGTTTGGATGAGATATTTTAAATGAGTAATTCATTTTTTTAAAATAATTTAAAATTTTATGAGTTAAAATTTGTTATTTAAATATTTAATTTAAAAAATTAAAATTCTAAGAATTTTAGTACTATTTTTAATAGACTAAAATTAAGCAATTCTAAATCATAATAAAGGGTGAGAATTTAGAATTATTTTCTTCATTTACTTTGTGTTTAATTTATGTTTTTATTTGGTTATGAGTAGTTTAATAATTTAAATTTTATTTTTTAATTAACTTTATCAAATATAGTGATAATTTTAATTATTTTTAAGAATATAAGTAAGTGAATTATACTATCCAAATAAAATATTTTAAAATAATAAAAATTTAAATAATATAATTTAAATTTAAAAAAAAATTAATTTTTAATTACTTCGTCCAAACACAATCTAAAAATATAATATTTATTATATTTTTATATTTTCAACCTAATAAATATTTTTAAAATAAAAAATTATCACTTATAATTGTTTGTTCTTAACTCTAAGAGTTTAGATTAACATTTTTTTATAAAATATACTTACAGCTTGTAAATAAAAAATTAGCATTATATATATAAAAGAAAAGTGTTGAGTAACCAATTAAAAAAAGTTTAAAACTAAAGAGATAATATACTTAGAATTTTGGCTAACTTGTGTTTTTAATCCTTCGGTTATGAATGTGAATATGAATATGGCTTTATTTTTTATTTTAATTTCTCATATATTTTTTTTCATTATTTTGTGTTTTTTTGTCCGATTTCCTTATTTTCAAACTCACATCTTTTTTTTTTTCAAAATATAAGAAAGTACTTAATGTTCTATTTAAAAATAAAATCTAAACTGACATCCTATAAAATTATTTAAACATCGTTAATTTTCATATTTTTAAATTATGGTATCCAAAATTGGTAATATTTTTAGCATCAAAAGAAATTTTAACAAATTTATATATATAAAAAATGAATCATAACAAGTTTTTCTAAACAAAGTTAGACAATTAATTTAAAATAAAGATTATTGAAAGATAAAATCCTCGGATGAGTGATAATTGAGGATGCAAAAATATAGTTAAAATCAAATAAATGAGGTAGTGGATACCAATTAAGCATTCATGTTACCACAGATACATGCTTTGAGAGTATAATAAACATTGTTAATTTCTCTTACCTACCCAAAATTCTCTACATTTACACTTCAAATACATAAACTAGCCCCATGTGTTTGTTTCCGTACGTGCATCCATTTGTCGGGGGCCATGTGACATGTATTTGTAAAAAAATTATATTAAAAATATTAAATGTCATAAATATAGTTTTTTTATAAAAATATTTTAAATTATTTAATGTTACTAATTTTCTTAAAATAATTTCTACAATTATTTTATTGATCCATTAGACAGCACCCAGTTATGTCAGAACCATGGATGAGAAGATTGGGTTGTATCACTAATCTTGAATGCTTTTGGTTAAGATTTTAACACCTCTCCCTTGCTAATTTGTTTAAGGTAAACGTTAACAGTGTTTTAAAGTTAAATATGTAATTAGAGCTAAAAATAAACAACTAAAAGTGATATTTTATTTTTAAAAACTATTTAATATCTTAAAAATATAAAAGTGTGATAAATATTACACTTTTTAATAAAAACTTATTATTTATAGGTGTCTAAATTCAATTCTTAAAATTAAATTTAATAAAACTGGATTTTTAATGTATTGTAACACAGTTTTAAATATTTTTTTATTTTTATTTTAAAATTTGCATCTTAATAGTACTTAATAAAAACCCTTTGTGTAATCATTCTACTGCAGCTGTCCACAAACTAGTCAGATCTTTAAATGAGAACATGGTTTGATTTGAATATGTAGTCTCCATTTATGTGGATTTACTAGTTATGTTCCAGTTGAATAAAAGCATATTTTAAGTTAAATAAAAATAATTTTATTAATCTCAAATTTTAAGATTGAATTAAAATATTTATCACATTTTTATATTTTTAATATAATAAATAGTATTTTTCTAATAAAAAATAATATAAATTCTTAAAATTAACCTTAAAAATTAAAGTTAACAAAATCTTAAAAAGATACTATTATTGAATTATTATTACATCACATTTAAATTACAAAAAGTCCAGTAACATATTTTCTAACACATTCTTTTAAACACTATTGAACGTTAATTAAAAATTACAAAAATATAAAAGAAAAATATTAAATTAAAATTAAAAATTACATAAAACTTATAAATTTTAATAAAATAGCAACAGGAATACGGTGAAAGTGCATATCTTGCATTGATTTTAAGCCGAAATCTTTCTTGCTGCAATAAGTATCATCCCAAAAGAATCCTCCATACACGACTTGAACTTTTGCTTGTCAATGAACCCTTTCTCTAATCCAAACGCAACTCTTAACTTCCCCATGTAGCTCATCACCGTTATGGACAGACTCTGCAACTCCACAAAAAATTAAAAAATATAAAGTTATATATATGTATATACATGAAGAAAGAAAGATCTTCTCACATTTTAGTGTAAATCTATACTTAATAAATTATAATCTATTAGATATAATTTAAATAAAAAGTTTAGATGAAGTGTTAAAAAAATATATTCCTATATATATATATCATACCACAATTAAGTTTTCACTGTTTTCTCTTTGGCTTTTTCGGGAAAAAAATGGCTTAAGTCTAAATAATTAATTTCATTAAATAAATGTAAATACACCATTCTCTGTGTACTTTACTGCATTTCAACATGATTTTTATTAAAAATTAATTGTTTATTAAAGATTTGTCATATTCTTTAATTAAAACAAGATGCCGCATATTGAATGCAGCTTTGCAATTGGACGACATTGATGAATGCCAACTAGCAAAAATCAGCAACAACCAAATTAATGGATCATTAATTGCCAAAAGCTTTTAGACAAAAAGATAATGGAAAGCGATGCCTCACAAGTCACATTAAACTTTTCCCTAAAAATTAAATTAATATTTTATTTTAAAAAATTAGTAATTTGTATTTCTTGTTGTTAGGACAAAAAATATGAGTAATTTTTTTAGCTTATAAAATCCCTCAAACTTATATCTTGTATTTCAATATTAAAAGGGTCAAAAAGATAAAAGTAGAATGATTCAAGTACCTCAGGTGCACCTGCCACCATAAAGTAAAAACCTTTAATTGGATGATTAGCCAAAGCCATTTGTTCCACTGGTCCAATGATGTTCGAAATTGTTGTGCTTGAGTTTCTCAAAGTACTGTATAAATATCTAGCTGCAGCCTAAGATCCCATGCATTAAGATCAAAATTTAAATGATTATACAATTTTAGGAAAAAAAATATGTTAACAAAAGATTAATTAGGTACCCACCTCAGGACCTTTGAGTTTCTTCACCATATTTAGAAGCATGCCTGTAAGAGGTGTGGCCCAAGAATCTTTCTTTCTTGTGATCTCTTTATTGGCTTCCCATATGAACTCAAGTGGGTTTGCATATTTGGAATCACTTAGCTCTGGAATTGGTATATGCAAAAAGGCAAAGCGGTTTCCCCATGCAGAAGAACCATCATTGGTCTTGTCAACCATCTCCTTAATAGACTTATAACCTCCAATGTTTCTGGTATTCAGCAACACCAATGCTGTGGATTGAGTTGTGTTTGCTTTCAGATTTGTTTCTTGCATATATAACCGAATGCCAAAAAAGATTATGCCAGCAATCACATCATTAACGCTCTGCAATTTGGTTACAAACCAAAAATCAACAATCAAGATAATGAGTAAAGATTAAAATTAGGGTAAATTTCACTTTCTTTCGTGCTTCAATTTATCTTTCTAAACTTTATTTTAGTCTCACCGAACTCCTTAAAATTTAAGTTAAAGTCAGAATAACCAATACTAGTTGAGTAAAATGATAAAATTTAACCTTTTTTTTTTTTATTTTAACCAAGGGGATTGGTGATACCCAAAAAAAAAAAAACTAAGATGTCAAAAAGTATGAAGTTATAATAATATATAATATAATTTACCCTTAAAAGTATAAGAAAATGTTTATATCATCCCTTAGGATTAATTTTTAGCAAGTAAAATCAATAATTTTTTCTTAAACAAAAGTATTTATTACATTAAGAATAAAAAGGCATAATAAATGTTTATTATTTTATAAAAACAATATTATTTTAAATGTTTAAAATTAATCATAAGATTTAATGCTAACAAATTTAAAATTATATATGATATTTGTAATCTATACTTAAGAACACAATAATAATTTAATAAATAAATATTTTTGTTTTAAAAAATATAATATTTAACATCGTCAACATATTAAATTTTATAATTTTTAATTAAAAAATTATTATATTTATTTAGCGTAAATTCTTAAATACATGTTAGATAACCGAGTTATATTCGATGAAAACGGTATTGTTGCAGTAAGTGTTATTAATTTGAGAGATTGAACCTACCACTCCAAGTTTAGATTTCACTTCTTTGATGTGATCGAGAGAGAAGGAGACATTTGAGATGGTAATTTGGCGAAGTTTGAAATCATCGGCACGAGACCTGATTGGTGTTTGATCATCTTCAATCAAACTACTTTTCAATACACTCCATCCAAAATCTGACACCGTGCGAAATGCTAAGGAGAAAATGGAGGGCAATCTCTTGAAAACCACATTGGAGTTGAATACTGATTTGGATCTTTGTCTTGTTGGGAGTGTGAAGGGAAGAGAGGATTTGTCAGCCCTTTGCAAACATGAAAGAAGAGCACCCATAAGAGAATAACCATCACCAAGGGCATGGTGAAGTTTGAATACCAAGGTGCCAGCAGCACTGGTTGTTGGATATTTAATAATGTGAATTTCCCATAGTGGTCTATGCTGTGGTAAATGTTCCATTGCTATTGTTGACATATATTCATCAAGACAATCATCATATAATAAGTTGGATGACTTCCCACTGGGAAATATAGGAACATTAATATGGTCCTCCAAGTTAACTTCAACTTTCTTCCATTTTTTCTCTCCATTTTTGTCCCCAATCTGTTCAAATATTTTGTAGTCCATGATCAATTTATTTTGTTTTATGGAGGCACAGAAAAAGTGTATAGGTAAATACTACATGCTTAGTTAATGGTGTATATTTGACTAATAGTACATGCATGATGCATAGCCCAAACATTAAACTAACTACAATTTTCTTATAATTTGTCCAAAAGGGTATAATTTTCATGAAATGAAATAAGCTATGAAATGCATTGCATGTTACTTTCATCTTTTTAGTGGTACTCCTCCATCAAAATAAACTAAGACGACATATAATATTCAAATCTATATCTTATTGTAAGAATGAGGAGAGTAATATTTAGATATTGCTATATATATATATATAACCTTTAAAGTGATCATGTAATCACTAATTAATTTCTAACTTTTACCAACTGTGTATGATTATGATATGATGCACAATTATAATTTTCATAATTTTAAAATAAAAACTATTTTCATTAAATACATCTCATTTCTCTCTCTGTGTATATATATCTATCTATCTATATCATAAAAGCAATAAATAGATAATGCCTAATGAAAATACAGCTTTGAGCAGTTTCTTTTCTCAGCTCTTCCCACTCCAGCGACTTAAAAAAAGGACAGTCGAAACATGGTGTCCCAATGATAGTTACATTCCCATTTAATTAATGATTTATATTTCAAATATTTTTTTCACATGTACTTAGGGATACATCATAAAAAAATTATATATAATAAAATTTTATTAAAAAATTATATAAACCTAACCCTTTCATTAAAACCCAGATGTGGCCAACATGCCCAACATGAGAACAGATCTTAAGACAGCAACTAACCCTAGTTGTATTTACCAGTTTAAAAAGAAATAAAATAAAATACTAGATACAAAAACAGCTAAATGAGAGAAGAAAAAAAATAGAGGAGGTGAGCGATGAAATGAAGATGGTTACCATGATGGAGGAGAAACGTTTGTTGATGGGAAGGAAGACATTTTGAAGCAGTGACATTGTTTGGCAATCATCAATTGGAATCTCAGTTTCTAAGACACCAAGAATGTATACACAAAGTGAAGAACTGTTCAAGTATAGCCCACTGGGACTCACAGGCTCAGAAACTTCTTCCTCAAAGCTTTCCATTGCTTCAGTCTTAACAAGCTAGCTTGGTAGAATGTTATATAAAATATTTGTTGCTGAGGTTCAGTTTCTTGATTGGTATACAGATATATACAATGGGAAGAGAGAGAAAGAGGGTGAGAGAAAAGGGCCCTTCACATTAATTAAAAATCTCAGTTTGTTTGCTCCTCTTTAATGGTCACACAACTAGCACACCTTACCCTGGACGGTTCCATAATGTTTAGTCAAAAATATAAAATTCACCCTTTTCAATGTGAAATATTAAATTTTGTTCTAATTTTAAGATAATGATTATTTTTTAAAACTTTTTAATGTGTTCTTGAATATAAAAATTTTAAAAAGTATATAAAATTTAAGATAGCTTTGGCATTGAATACTTTCTAGGATGTGGAAAGGGTAAAGTAGGATTAGAATAAAGATCTCAAATTTAATTTCGTAGCCTGGATTTGGTTGAGAGAATTAAAGTGCACAACTACTTGGAAAAGATTACAGAATACTTGTTTAAAAATAAAAGTAAGAAAAAGCTAACAATAAGTATAATCTTTTTTAGAGTAAATAACTTACCATTTTAAGTTTTAAAGAAAAATGATCAATTCCAAATTTGTTCCAAAATAGCACTTTACCCCATCCTCACTAATGGCAATAATAGTGATGTTAATCTAACCATGGATTTAATCAAAAGTTAGGAATAATGAATCCATTAGATTAACTTTTAGAGCATATTTGGATCAGCAATTATCACGCCGACCACAGTTCTTGCATATTTAACTTTGAAGTAATATTCTTGTTCTCCACGCCAAATAGGGTTATTAATAACGTGACTTTATTTAAAATAATAATAATAAAAAAGGGTTTAGTGTTAGCAAGACAAGCAAACTCCTTTTGTAATAATAAAAATAAATAATAGGATAATTGCTTTATCTTTTACCTCAATTTTATTTGAAATTTTATTTGCTTGTGAGAGATCGCTTTTTTGTTTTTTGGTCTCATTTGTCTATTTACTATTTTTTGTTTGATATCTAAAGTGATTTTGTGATTTTTAAATGAATTTTATGTCAAAAAATTAATATTATCCATTACTAAGTTTTAGGTTACACATATGTTACATGGCACTTGATCAAATATGTTATTGAACAGTACGAATAACACTTTTTTTTAATGTAATTGTTGGATAAATTTTATTAAAAATTATATATGTACGGAAGATAGTCATAACTTAAAAATTAAAAAGAGTATAATTTATACAATTTTTGTAAATTTTACTAAATTTTAATAATAATTAATAGTATATTAAAGTTTATATTGCTAACATATGCATTTATCATATGTAATTAAATAAACTTAACAAATATTAATGGGATGGACTAAAATAACTTATTTTTAATAAATCTATAGAATAAATATTATTTTACATAATTTCAAATACTAATTTAAAAAGTATTTATAACTTGATGGACTAAAATAATTAAATTTTTATAATTTTAGGAACTTTTTTTTTACAATTTAAAAGGCTAAAATATCAAATTTTTATATTTTTAAAGAGTGTAAAGAACTCTTGACAAGATCCATTCTTTTAAAAAAATTTAAGAGACACAGGAGCTCTCTTAAGGGGAGAAACTTTTAATTCTTATTCAAAAATAAAAATAGTTTCTAAACAAGTGATATTTAAAATAAAAAGTGAAACTTAAAAAGATTTACTAATGACAAAACTCAATAAAATAATTTAAGTAAAACTTTAATAAGGTTTTAACAACTACGCTTACTAAATATAATAAAATATAAATTCTAAAGAAACTTAATAAACTATGGTTTAACCCACTGACTTAAAACATAATAAATCACTTAATTAAAATATAGAGTTTCAGCTAAAATAATAATAAAAATTGGATTAAGTAAATTGAATTAGGTCATAATCTTTTATCAGAACACTAGTTATGCTTTTTATTGTTTCAAGCATTTAATAATTATTATAGGTGATATAGATTGAAATACAACAAGCTTAGAGCTTGTTTGTTTTTATTTTTAAAAGCATTTTTTTAAGTAAAAAAATTATTTATTAATATGTGTTTTAAAATTAAAAAAAAAAAAAAACAAGCATTGCCCGTACTCCTCCCTCCATGTTTTCCCATTTACTTCTCATTTTATTCCAAAACAGGGATTTTTTTTTTGTGCTAAAAAAATAAAAAATCTTCTCTCCCTTCTCACCTCCTTCATCCAAACTCAAGACCTTCTTCTCCTCTATTTTCCTTCTCTTCCTTCAAATTTCATAACATCCAAATAAACCATAAGGAGTGATTTGGAAAAGCTCAAGTAAAAATATAAATGATTTCTAAAGCCTATTTGAAATCTTATGAACAGCTTACAATTCTCATTAACTCTTTCTAATTTGTTTCAATAAGTTTATTAACATAGTTTATTAAGATAAGTTATTTTCAGTTTGTTTTAATTAGTTTTCTGCTTAAATTTATGACATAAGTCATTATATGAAAAAAGTATATTGAATAAGCTTTTAATTAAGTTGTATATCTAATCATGTACTTATCTTGTTTTAATAACATTTTTAGAGTGTATTTTGATAATTTCTTATTTAATTATTTATTTAATAAGATTTTTTAAAATAATGACTTATATGTCATATTTAACAATAAAATTTATTGAGATAAATTAAAAATAACTTATTTTAATAAAATATACTAAGAAAATTATTGAAATAAGCTAAAAAAATTAAGAGTCATATAATATTTTTTATAAACTCTTCCAAATAAACCTTTAGCATAACTTGTTAAACTGTTATTTTTTTTATAATTAAATTTATAGCATAAATTATTACATAAAAAGAGTTTGTTAAATGAATATTTAATAATTTAAATAAACCTTAAATATTAGTTCCAACAAAGGCGTATAGATACATGAAGACATTATTTTATCAACAAATATTTAAATCTCTAACCTTTTTTTTTTTTTTTTTCCATTCAGACCTTATTTCCAACCATTCAAAATAAATATTCACTTCATCTCTCAACTCTCTTGCTTGTTTTTTTCCCAGATAAAAAGGCAGAGGGCCCCAAAACCAAAACAAGACCACAAAGGCTGATCGGCCCAAACTGAAAGAAGCCCAAAGCATCAAACTATCATGTTATCATATAGTAGTAGACCAAAACAAATTTCATATGACCCATTATCAATAATGGGCCTCCGTTTTCAATATTCAGCCCAATGTACCAATGCTTGAATAGTAACAGTAATTTATCCCAATGCGAGATTATGAAAGCACTAACATCCAAACAACATTGTTCAACCCAAAAACCCTAGTAATCCTGATCCTCGGAACTATATATCAAAGTCTCTCTGCCTCTAACAATTAGGGTTTCTTGGTTGGGCCAATTCAGACAATTATCTCTCACTTCAGAGAACCATAACGCCACCATGGTCGCTGCCAAGAAAACAGTAATCTCTCACATCTCTTTCTTTCCCAATTTATTGTTTCTTATTCCCAATTCTCGAATTGGGTTGTTTTATTTTTCTCTCTCTTGATTCAACCATTATGTTAATGGCTTTTGTGATTTTTATTTTTATTTTTATTTTATTTTTTTGCAGAAGAAAACCCACGAGAGTATTAACAACAGGCTCGCTCTTGTGATGAAGAGTGGGAAATATACTTTGGGTTATAAGACGGTTCTCAAATCCCTCAGGAGCTCCAAAGGTAGGGTTTTTGTTTTGAATTCCGATTTGATCACTGTGATCTGATTATTACTCTTTGAATGCTTAATCAGCTTTATTGAGGTAATGGGTTGGGTTGAAAGTTGTTTTTTTTGGGTGATTTTGAAGGAATGAAGGAAAATTGCAGCTGAATTTTTTTCTTTGTTGGGCTTTAGGTAGAATAAATCGTTTTTAGGGTTTAGAAATCTGGTTTTTTTGCAGTGTCAAATTTCAAATTGTGGGTCTTGTTGATGGGGAAATTTGCTGAATATGCAGTCCTGTATGTTGGATATTGAAATCGAAGTTTTAAGTGATTAGATCTCTGAAGATTTTGACGTGGATTTGTCTTTCTACTTTTGATTTTGCTTGTGTGTTGATTATTTCCTAACTGCGTGGTGATTTTTTTTATTGACATTCCTTCTTTTTTTTTTTAAGGGAAACTGATTATCATTGCCAACAATTGCCCACCATTGAGGAAGTCTGAGATAGAGTATTATGCCATGTTGGCGAAGGTTGGAGTTCATCATTATAATGGAAGTATGTTCTCAATCTGACCATTTTTGGTGTTATGTTATGCTAATTGACAAATGCAAATGATAAGTGAGAAATGTTTTGTCTGTTTGATTGATGGTTTAACATACTTTCCCGGTGTGTCTTTTTGGGAATGGGTTGCTAAACTAGCCTCAGGCATTTATCTTGATACAATCTTTAGAATATTTCATTTAAGATATTAGGTTATATTTAAGTTGTCCTTTGCTGAAGTATCCATTCATCACAGGTGCTATGCATGATTGTTATTTGTTAGCATGCATCTATAATGATTCGGATTTCAAATGTTTTATGTTTCAGATATCAGATTCATTTTAGATCACGGTGTTGAGCAGCTTTAGTAAATTGAATGTGAAGAAATTAGTTTTAACTTAATCAGTAAAGTAGAAAGCAGAATTAGTGTTGCTTTCATATCACTAAATGGCCTCATTTGTAGGTGGTATAACTGGATCATGGCTTAATAGAAACTTTTGTTTAAGAAAATCTTTTGTTTCCTTTTTTTGTTTTCATTTTTAATAATGAAATCGTCTACCCTTTTTTCATTTGGTTTCTTACTTTCAAAGAGAACAGTGTAAACAGAAAAAGTTGTTTTCAGTGTTTTCTGCATAAATATTTGAAACAGGAAACTAGGTTGCAATTTTGTAATTAAAAGTGATAATTGAAAACATTTTTTGGAACCAAACAGCCCCTTCAATTGCCTTTCTTGATGAATTTTTAATGATTTGTGCTAGTGTTAAAATTTCTATCCAGTCCCACCTACCTGATGGAAATTTTTAGGTGTCAAGACATTTTTTTGTTGGATATTGCTTCCCAATTACCACCAAAGTTTCAGTGGACATTCAGAATCCCCTTACAAATGAAGCATAAAATGTCTTTAACGAAATTGATCTTATAAAAAAAATTATGTGATGCTTTTGAAGATATTGCATTTGATCAGTTGAGCTGTTGTGTTGTTAATTTGGCATTCTATAATTACAAATTTTAAGGAATCGGTGGCTGTCCATGCTTTTAATGCACTTTTTCTTTTATAAATTAGAAACCTGTTTGATGTCAAATGCTTTGATGCTTGGTAGAGTTTGTCATTGAACCTAAGCATAACAATCATGTGCCTATTAACAAATTGTTTATTGTTTATGTAGACAATGTGGATTTGGGCACTGCATGTGGCAAATATTACAGGGTGTGCTGCCTCAGCATTATTGATCCTGGTATTTCATTATTATATTATTTCAATATTAGAAACTAGTTTTAAGCGTGTTGTTTTCTAACTTTTTGTTCATGTTAATATCAGGTGATTCGGATATCATCAAGACAATGCCTAGCGAGCAGTAGAGTTCTATTAAGTTTTTTTTGGTACTTGTAAAAGTTTGATTGTTTGATATTTGCTGATTTGTGTTGTTTCAGACATCTTCAAAAGAAAATTTAATGTAGGCTTAAACTATCTGGTAGAACTGCGTTATCAAGTCTTTTTATGCAATTTTGTTTTCTTAAAAGTGGTTTGATGGAGCCATATTTTTTACAATTCCATTGTGTTATCAATTTTTGCATCAATTTTTGCTTAACATTGTTTGACCTCGAATACCTAAAAAACATCAGTGTTTACGTGATTGTAAAACCATTGTTACGCATCAAAGTTGCAATTGTTAATTATTATTTTAGAATTATAGTTTTGATTACTATAGTCGATGATATGATTGTTCAATAAACGTAATGCGAAGTGAAGCTGAATGGCTGAAGTGCGTAAAAGGTTGAGAAAATAGTTAAGTCTATTTCAAGTAAAGTATTTGAATTTATCGATTGGAGTAGTTTATTTATTAGTTTATATCTATACTAATTTTGTTATATTAATTGAATAATGATAAGTTTAAAAATTATGGATATGTATTTTTTTTTTGTTCAAAGTCACTATAGTTATACATTATTTAGCAAGAATTTATTATAAAATATGTCGTTGATAATGTTTTTTTTCTTTTTAGTTTGATGATTTGATTTTAAATCAGCTGTTGTACGAGTAGAATCTTTTGATGATTGGTATGAATTTGTATTGAAAAAATTCCCATTGACATATTTGTCTTGGGTTGCCAATTCGTTCTTAACATTTAGCGATGTGTAGTCGATGTCTCTTTTTTTCTACGCGAACGTTCAACATCTGTGTACTCGTGCTTTGAATGCCAAAATTTTGATGTACTTTGAGTTTAAAATTTTTAAATGTTAATCAAGTATAGGGTTTTATTTTTATTCCACTACTAACGTTTAACTCCATAATGAGAAAGGAAGATGACCATAACAGTAAGAATAAAAGAAAAAGATAAATATAATAATGAACAGAGTTAAACACAACTAATAAAAATGATCTATTGAGTTGACATTTAAAGTGAAGTAAAAGATCCAACTAAAATTAAAAAGAAAGGACTAAATTTACATATATATATATATATATATACTAATTTTACCTTTAAAATATTAAAAATAATATTTAGATTGAATCTTAACAATATTTGCAATTGGAGATGTGGGATAGATATGCCAGATACAGATGCTCTTAAAATGATTAATATCAAATCAATGATCTTCCTCAAATCATCGTCAGACACATTGTTCATATTTTAACTCCTTTTTTTAACAAAGTAAGTGTATGTTTTTTATAAAAATAGTTTGAGTCTAATATTTTTTTTTTTGGAATGGAATATTATTACCTTAAAAAACTCAACAACAATCTATAATGATTTTAAAAATGTATAAAAATAACTATTTTTTATTTTATGTAAAGTATATTTTAAATCTAATTATAATTATAAGAAGTGTTTTTTATTTTAAAAGCTAGATACATCTGTACTTTTTTTTTTTCAAAAGCTAATCAAAATGATTTCTTAAAATAATCCGAATTTTATTTTTTATATATTTTAATTTTTTAAGAAAAGTGAAACAGACACATGAAAAATTTTAAAAAAATAAATTGATTTTTAATAATAAAAAAAAGTGGAAATAAAGATTTCATTATTTACGTGGAAGGGACAACCTAAATTTGAGGTATTTTAGCATGCAACGTGTAATATTAACAAAAGTGGGACGTGGGTCCATCCGAATCCTATTGGATGCATTTATTGGTTCATAGACTTTGCATATCTCTGTTTGTATAACATGAATGGCTGAACAGAGATAAGGTACACTGAGTACAGAAGTAGTTGGTATTGTATTTCATTGTCAATCACCCATCATAAAGCAATTAACCATATACCATTAATGGAACTATTACGTTAACATGAACCCTTTCAAATTCTGAACCTAATTAAACAAACGTGCCTTGTTTGCACCTTAGAGTCAGGTAGGTACAAACTTTCATTTGTGCCCTTCAGTTTCTGGGTTCAATTACCATCTGAATTTCACTCCTCCATTTTTAAACTTTTTATTTTTTGGAAAATATTGGTTTCATTTTGTGAAGTTTTTGTTTCTTTACCAATTCAATTTGTTAGCTTTCAAATAACAAAAACAAAGGATTCTCTTTCTGTTGCTGTAGGAAGTGATGTGTTTCTGTTTGGTAAAAGATAATTTTAGTACAAAGTTTAAACTCTGTAATGTATGCGCAGAAATTATGAAGTTAATTAATCAAAGTTCAATATTATTATTAGAGCTTTTGAGTTTGGAAATGAATTTAGATATATGATATAACTGTAAATGTTTTGAGACTGTATTATAATCTTCGGTATTGTATTGCTTCTAGCTTTGAGAACCTCTTTCTGTGCCATCAAGGGCCCATTTAGTGTTCTTTCTAGGCATGTAGACACAATAACATTGATATTCTTTTCATGCTATTTGCCAGTTTCAGTGTTTTTCTTGCTTAAGGTGCAGTCATGGGCACCAAATACAAAAAAGTTTTTTTTTTTTTCTCAAATAATTACAAAAATGCCACTTTGCTTTCATTTTGTTTCTTTTTTTAAAAGATATGTACAAAAAATGTTGAAAACATTATAAGAAACTAAAACACAAGGTGCACTTTTATAATTATTTGAAAAAATAAAATTAAAAAATCATTTTTTCAAACCAAACAGACCCTTATATATTCATTCCTGAAATGTTATGAATCATAGTTATGTTTTGTCTCAAGATATGCTAGTTTCCAAGAACACAACATTACTTTCTTCCTTTCATGCTGCTTATGCTTTTCTTTTTTCTGTTTTTTTTTATCTTCAGGTTTTCATGGCTGCATTTCCAATATGTTACAAAACACCCTACAAGGACCAAAATTTACCAACACAAAGTGTAATAAGGCAAAATGAGAAGAGGTTCATGTATGACTGTGATAACATGATTAGGTCCTTCTCTACAATTCCTGGTCAAATTTGCAGGAGTTGCCATCCATTGAACAAAGTTAACAACAACATCCTTACAAAATCATGCACAAAAGATAGGAATGTGCCAAGGTCCCTAGTTCATGACAAAGGTTCTTTGGTTAAGAACGTGACAAAAGTTTGTAGTTCAGACACTCACCTAAGCTTCATTCAGGGACGTTGTTCAAAGAGAGAAAACTTATCCACAGTTTGGTGTTCAGCTGAGTCTAGCTCTGCTGAGAAGCAACTAAAGTCATTAGATTCTTATTTTGGTAAACTCCAACATAATCCAAAGTTACATAGATTTGATTCATCACACAAGGTGATACAGGTGAATCACAGTGCTGATCAATCCAAATCAAAATCTGGATTGGAGTCTCTTGATGAGTATCTTGGCAAACTAAATAATGGTAAGGTGTAATTACTTTGAGTATTGTAGTGCCTTCTCATTTATTATCATTCTCTTCGGGTATGAAAAATACAGTTTAATTATGCTCTTATTCAATAAGGTTTTTTTTTATTATGAGAGCTTATCCTATAAATTTGACCTAAAACTTGTTGGAATAAGTTGAAAAGAGCTTATTTTGATAACTTATACCGAAGCTTATTGAAATAAGTTCAGAAGAGCTTATGGAACTATAAGCTATTTTCATAAACTCTTCCAAATGGACGCTTATTCTAGCTCACCAGTTCTTGTCAACTACTTAAACCTTGTGTTTCAAAGATGAACATGTAAGTATTTTATATGCAGGAATCAACCAAGAATCTCGCGTGCCTTCTTATGTTGAGAATCGTAGCGAAGAAAATTTAGCACCAAAACAATCTCTCAGCAAAAATATTGGAAGAGTACACTTTAGGAAGCAAAATGCTTATGTGGATATGAGAAGAATAAAAGGTGTAGGTGGACCAAGGTTTGCTGTGGATTCACAACAGCATAATGAAACCTCTAGTCTCTACTTAATGTAAGTCCTTCTCTGTCATAGTTCACTTTTCTCTTTTCAACAAGGACTCCTCCTATTTCTTTCATACTTTAATTTTCCCATATTAATGTTTTAATGCCTGGTATGTTCTAAATAACTCTTTTCATTCTGTTTTGTTGTTATCTTGGGTGCAGTGGTATATTGGCTTCTGTGAACATTGCAGTGTTCCTATTTGAAATAGCAAGTCCTATAAGGAGTGCTGATTTAGAGCTATTTTCGATTCCACTACTATATGGAGCAAAGATAAACCATTTGATCTTGGTTGGAGAATGGTGGAGGCTTATAACACCAATGTTTCTGGTACAAGATTGAGAACTGGGTCCGTGTTTCCATTCCACAGATATAGAATATTGTTTACATGACAATCATCACCATGTGGGAGAATCACATCATTTAGTTTCTGATGTTTGATTTATAACATCTTTGGTTTCATATTAGATTGCTTTTGGATTCATATTTACTTCAATGCTACAAGTTGTATCTTTTGCTTTGGATCTACGTCTACAGGCTTTCAAACATGTTTCCAAACACACTTAAATTTGAGCTTTGTTTTACATTACATTTTCTTTTGGGAATTTACTTTATTTCAAAGTTTTAACTTCCAAATCAATAGCATTAAATTACAGTCGTTTCTGTGTAGAATTGCAAAACTAATAATATGCTTCCTCCTGCATGGAAAGAATTGAGTCATTGACTCAATGCTTAAAACTACCATGAAAAATCATGAGAACTGTATCAGGGAAAATAATGCATCATATGTGTAAGTGTTGATTGGAAGCCTATATCCTCTCTGCAAAACAAAGAGAGAAAGTGGCCTGTCAATTTTTTAGATATTTTTAGGGTTTTGTTAACAAGTACTCCTAGGAAGTAATTAGAAATCACGGAAGAAGGTGCATTAATAACATTTTCTAACAATTTTTTTTTCTAATACCACATGCTAAATTAATCTCATTGTGATTATGTTTCTTATGCCTGCTCTCAGTAAATTTTGCATGTGCAGCATGCAGGAATATTGCACATGGCTCTCAGTTGTTGGGCCCTTCTAACATTTGGGCCTCAAGTTTGCAGAGGCTATGGTTCATTTACATTTTTCTTGATCTACATCCTGGGTGGAGTTTCTGGCAACTTGACTAGTTTTCTTCATACTCCAGATCCCACTGTTGGTGGAACTGTAAGTATCACTCTACACTTTTAATTCCCTTTTAATATGATTAAGCTATAATATATCATTTTTCAGTTAAAAGGAACTCAAAGAGAGTTCTGTGTAAATGTTAATTTTAAAACCAATTCCAATTATAATGGCTTTGTATGTGCACAAGTTCTCTTGAAGGAAATCAAGTGAGGATCATTATTAAGTGGGATTAATTAAGAAAAAAAGTTCTTGCATTAAAGTTTTGTTTCTATATTTCATTCCTTCTGTGTTTCGTGGTTTGTCTGCAAAGTTGTTAAAAAAACTCTTAGGTTTTATTACTCTTCTGCAAATGATTTATTAAGTCGAATTATTTTTTGCAATAACTTTCTTTCTGTTTGGATCTCCTGTTTTGCCTTCTATTCACTATGTCTAACTTCAACTTGTACTCAGGAACCTGTATTTGCAATAATTGGTGCTTGGCTCATGTATCAAATTCTAAACAAAGGTGTTATCTCAACTGATGCTTCAGAGAACTTGTTCCAGAAAGCAATTATTATTACAGCTCTTGTTTTCATACTAAGCCACTTTGGTCCAATTGATGAATGGTATGACATACATTATATTCATAGTTTACAAATAAAACTCAATAAAATATAAAAGGAACTTAACTTGAAGGATGAGAGCAAACTCACTTTCCACATCAAGGTTATATGAAACATTAGAGCTTGATGTAGCAAATATATACATGAGATCTGAAAATAGAGGAATGCAAGAAACATATTGAAAAAAAAAAAAAAGGGAGTTACATATTTCCAATATATTCTTTAAAGGCAAATGCTAACCTGTACCCTAAGCACCCTGGTTAAGGAATCAAAAGTGAAAGGTTTTTGTGAGAAAATGTAATTAATAAATCTCTTCCCATGATTTCTATAACATGGTCAAACATGTTTTCAAGAAAAACTTTCCACTTTCATTTCTTAACCAGTGAGCATTGACCCTTCTTTAAATTGTGAAATTGAAACCTTTATTTGGCGGCTGATTGATTTGTAGGTCACACTTTGGAGCAGCTTTCTCAGGCATGGCATATGGCTTTCTAACCAGTCCAACACTTCAGCTGAATGATACATCATCAGGAAGTGGTCAAGAAGAAGGACTCAAACTAGTTAGGAAAAATGGTGATTCTTGCAAATCACTAATGATATTCACCATATTCATCATTGTTTTAAGCTCAATCCTTTTCTTTATGGAGCCACCACCCAATGCACTTGCATCTGTCAATGCAGCAGCTGCTGACACCTTGGAATTTATGTTGATTTTTGGCTGATGCCACGTGTCATTGGCTCATTAGATTTCTGATGCAGATTTACCTTGTAGGAACATTGGCAACATACATTATACTACTATAGGGTTACAACAATATAATTGTATAAGCTTGGTTCTTGTCCGATAACTATGTTATACAAACACTAATATTTCCAATAGTATATTACACTTTTCATACTCATAGTTGATAGATGCTTCCATATAAAAGAATTACACTATGCTCCTTTGAAAAATTAATATGTACAACACTGTCTAATTCATTTTATTGTAAACTAGAAAGATGACATGTGCATTGCACGGATAAATTATTACGTTATAGTATAATATTATAATTAATAATTATAAAATAAAAAATAATTATATAAAATAATTATAATAATATTTAAATTATTTTAAATTTTAAAATTAATTAGTATATATTAATATTATTACTAATAAAATATTTCATATATTATATAAAGATTTATAATATATTTTTAAATATTTATAAATTAATTTTAAAAGTAAAAAGTTTAAACTCAAATATAATTTGAATTTATAAATTTAATTCTATAAAGTTTAAAAATACTTTTATAATTAATTTGTAATAATTTAACATGTATATATACATACCACAATATAAGAATTCTTAATAAAATAAATAAATTTAAATATATTTAAAATATTTTAAGACAAAAATTATTGAAAGAATAAAATTATATATTTTTTTTATTTTATAAAATTATATAGCACACAATTTAAAGATAAAAATAAATAATTTTTTTATTAAATAAGCCTATTTTGTTTTTCTGAAACTATTGTTATAATCAAGTATCATAATTTAATCTCTTATTATTGAATCATATATTTATTAATTAAATATATATATGATTTAGTTTTAAAATAATTATACTTTAAATATTAAATTAATTATTTTTAATATAACAGAAAGATAAAAAATATTAAATGAAAATTTTGATTATTTTTAAAATAAATTATCTCTAAAAAATAAATATAACAGTTAAAAATAATTTATATGTGACTTTAAATATTATAAATATTATTATAAAAAATTTAATTATAGATTAATAAATATATTTATATGTCACATAAATTTGTTTATAATTAGTATATATTAATATTATAAAATTATAATTTAAATATAAAAAATATAATAATAAAATTATATTATATTGAATAATATCAAATATAAATAGATTGAAAAATAAAATAAATAAATTTTGATATGCAAATTTTATATACTTTATATATTTTAAAATTTTGAATTAAGATTTAAATAGAAAGTAAAAGAGAAGAATAATTTTATTGAAAATAAAAATGAATTTTTATATTAATTAAAATTACACGTGTTGATATAATATAAAATTTATGAGTCACATATAAAATATAGACAAATATTATGATAAGAAAAACTTTATAATAAAATTTAAACTATTTGAAAGTTTAAAATTAATTAGTATATGTTAATATTATTATTAATAAAAATATTAGTTATTTAAAAGAAAGAAATGTAATATAGAACTTTATAAAGTATTTTTCTTTTCTATTGACATTAATTAAAAAGGAAAGTTATAATTTTTATAATAAATCTAATTTATATTTTGAAAGATTTCCTTGTATACCAACTTTTTAACAATTTTTGTACTTTTTTCATATAATATTTAAATTACAAATACTAAATTAATATTAATTCTTATTATTCCATTGTTGTATGACCTTTTAAATATATAAATTAATTAATTATAATTTATTCATTTTACTATTCTTCATGAATGATCCTATATGTTAATATTAAAGTTAAAAAGAAAGTACAAATATGTTAATATATATGCACACTAAATAAAATACAATTTTTTTATCTTTATTAAATATTTTATATTTGTCCATATAGCTCTCATTTGATTATTTATAACAAATTCAAATGTAACATAAATGACCCTTAGAATATATATATATATATATATATATACTTATTAATTCTTATTCATTTATTTCATTATTCTTCATTAATCATATACAAATTATCAGTTTTCAAGAATAAAATTTAAAGTAAATCATTTATATTAAAATTTAAAATTGTATTTAACTGCTAATTATATGCATTTCACTTCATTATTTCAATACAAAATATACATAATTTGTTTCAATTATTTCATGTATATATGGTCATGCTTTGAGCTTGGAGCAAATCATCTTCCATTAAAATAGAAGAGTACCCATCGAACTTAATACTTGACTTATACCTGCATCATTCATATTCATCTTATACCACAAATTAGATAGCTTATAAGTTAACAAAAACAAGAAACATCATGCAAAACATAATGATGTCTCTATAAATAAAAAATTATTAAAATAATTACTTATTCTTGTAATCAATAGCCTCTTTTATGTTAAGATTGATATACAACTTTGTCTCATTATAAGTATTTGATATGCCTAAAGTTTCTGAAACAACTATGAAATATAATTTGTTGATAATAATAACTATCACACAATTAAAAAGAGTTCAATATAGATAAACAATCATACCACCAAATGTTTTCACTTTACATAATTGAATAATCATAATAGGTAAAGCATTAGAATTTTCATTCTTTAAAAAACAACCATTTGATCATCAAACTCCTCCCATAAAGTGTAAATAATTCTTTGATTCTTACGAAATAAATTCAATATAATATAATCTTAATTAGTATAAAGTAATGAAAGAGAAAAAATATTAAACAAATATTTTAGCCATTAAAATATATTATAAAATAATATTCACTCCAAGTCATTGAGAATTAAATCAATATATTTGATTTTCTTTTCATTTTTTCTACGTCTATTTTTTTAATTTTATAAAAAACTTAATTTAAAGTTCAAGAGTTTTATGTAATTTTATCAGTTATTAATTTTTAATAATAAAATTTAAAATAAACATTAATATTAAGGCTCAAATCTGCCACAAAGGATGCACCTTTTGAATATATAAAGACTACTAATTAGATATAAATATATTTAACTGATTTGAATTAAACCATTCAAGACGGTCTTAAAGGTAAAGATATATCAAAACTGCTAATTAAAAATGAACGGATTTAATTGATTTGAATTAAAGCATTTAAGATGGCCTTAAATAGTAATTATTAATTATTATATAAAGATTATTGTATTAAAAAGCGAAGGCAAATTGTCCTCCAAAACTCATCTACTTTTATATATATAAAGATAAGTCTTCTAGGAATAATTTTTCTCAAGTTGCAATTCTTCACATTACTAGCAACTAGTTTTGAATATTTACTATTAAGTGACTTCATTAGAAGAAATAAAGATTTTTAAATGAAATTTAACAATGAGTGAGTGCTCAAAACTTAATTTCATTTTGAAAAGTCTTAAAATCAACACAAGAGAGTTCATAATTAATTTTTGATAACATTAAATGTTGTTAAGAGGAAAAATATGTTTGCTTGATGAGTTATTGACTCATATAGAAAATTAAATATTTTTGGCATATTTTATTGAATTAAAATTATAAGTTAATATAATTAATTGGAAAATTCAATGGACTGTTGTAATTGCTAGCAAATTGATGAATTATTCATATATTGATTGCTCGCATTTAAATTTTAAAGGGATTAGAAGAAAAATGGCAATTGAAATTGAAGAGAAAAATTGAATCACACAATTGTGGAGACATGAACTTTTGATTGTAGGGACACGATGCTGACAGAACATATAAAAGCGAAATTTTTTGTTAAAGCGAGCATTTTTTATGTTTCCTTTTATTACATTTTAGAGCACAAAATTTTAGGTTTTCATACAGTTCTCTGTAGAAATGTCAGCTAGGGCATTTTCTTCCTTCTTTGCTATAGGATTTTGATGAGAAGTTCTCCTTAATTTGTAATGGAATAGTAGTTTCCTATACTTTATATTTTGCTTTAAGCTATTTCTATTGAACATGATTTCATTTTTTGCAATGTATTTTAGTTTATTCTTCTTTATTTTCATCATGTCTTGCTAAATACCTTGGAGTTAAGGAAGGATGAACTTATTCTTTTACCCATTGCAATGAACTAAGCATTGAATGTAACTCAAGATATAAGCTTTAATCTAATATTTTGATTCTGAACTTAATATCTGTCTATTTTACGTGAATGGAGTTGATGAAAAAGAGTTTATTGTTGGAAAGTTGTGAACTTTCTTGGATTGTGATCAAAATGCTTGTTATAAATTATCTAGGAATAGAATTTTATAATGATGTGGTCATTTGAGTTTTAATCATAATGTTGAACATTTTTTGTTTTATCTAAGGGATTAGGAAGCTAAATACGTTTTAGAACTAACTAACTAAGGAATTGGGGTTGGGTATTTTAGAAACCTGACCATTAGATTGAGCTGTATTTTGGGTTATACATATATCTTATGCAAAGGAAAAAAGATAAGAGATTCTAAACCCAACCCATCTTTTTAATAATTTACAACTCAGTTCATTACCTTCTCTAGTCATATACTGCAGTTTAGTTTAATTAGTATTTAGTTCTTTACATCTAAAATTTCATTTCCATAGTTAATTATAGCTTTCCAACATTGTGTTTTTATATTCTGCACTTCATTTAATTTTTCAGTTGTATTACAATTCTATTTTCAACCCAACTAGTTATATTCTTGTAGTTTGCTACTTAACATTAATCCTTATGGACGATAAATCTATTTTGTTACTTCAACAATTTGGTGCACTTGTCAAAAAGTTATCAAGTTTCTTGCACCGTTGTCGAGGATTAATTATTATTATCAATTGAAATGAGAATCTGCTAGCTTGTGTTAATAATTTCTACTGTATTTTAAGTGTTCACAAAAAAATTAAAGTGTAGTAGAAAGGTTGTTCATGTGAGAAAAGGACAAGAACAAATCTAAACTTGATTCATCTCCAGAACTTGATCAGCTAATTATTAATTTCAAGAAGAAAAACAAAAAGAAAGGACAAACTTCAGAAAAGGAAAAAGAACCAAAAAAAGAAGAAAATTATGTAGCAATGACAGAAAATGCTAATGAAGTACAGAGGACTTGAATGATTATGCACGTGTAATATCGAGAGGAAACTTCACCTCTATTGTTTAACCTCCCATTCAAGCTAACAACTTCGAGATCAAACCTAACCTGGTGAGAGTGGTCCAGCAAGAACAATTTGTTGGACATCTTTCCGAAGACCCCCACTTGCGCATTCAGAATTTCTTAACCATATGCGAAATGATTAAAATGAATGGTGTGAGTGATGAGGTTATCTGGTTGTCTCTTTTTCCATTTTCTTTAAGGAATAAGGCAAAAAGCTTACTGTTCTCCCAACCGAAAGGAAGTATAACTACTTGGGATGATTTAGAGAGGAAATTCCTAACAAAGTATTTTCCAGCCTTTAGAACAACCAAGTTGAGGCAAGAAATCTCTGCTTTTTTTTCAAAGGGAAGATGAAATACTGCAAGAGGCATGAGATAGATTCAAAGAACTCTTGAGAAGTTGCCCTTATCACGAGTTACCCGAATGGCTCCAACTGAGAACCTTTGATGATGGGCTGAATGTAGCAACAAAAACAATGGTGGATGCAGAAGTTGAAGGTTCATTTGCTCAAAAGACCCTGGAAGAAGCACGCCAACTTATTAAAGTTATGACATCTAATAATTACAATCACAAATAAAGAGGTTCTTCAAAAAGGGGTGTGCTGGAACTGAACACCTTATTAGCTCAGAACAAATTGATGTCACAGCAACTGAATTCCCTCAATGCCAAACTTGAAAACATGAAGTTAGAAGGGAACAAACCAATTCACTATGTAGCTTCCACCAGTCAAGAGGAATATCATGAGAAAACTAGTGAAAATAGAGAAGAGTTTATGCAACAGCCTTTTCCTGAACAAGTGAGTTACATGAACAACTTACCAGGGCATCAACAGAATTTTCCTCAAAGGGCACCTTGGCAGCAGCAACAGAATTTCCAACAAAGGCCTATATACCCAGCCTCAAATTAGTAGAACCTCAGGCCAAATATGAATTTTTCTACGAAACCATCAGCTCCATCTCAATTCTCACAATCCAACAACAAGCAATTCCAACAGAATGGACAATGGCAGCAGCAGAATTTTCAGAATTCTAAACCCATGCAACAGCCCCAACAACCCCAAGTTTCAGAGTAAGTATCCACCCTTAAGAAGGCACTCTTACGACTAACACAAACCACCAACTTGTTTGTGCAGGACTCAAGCACAAAGATGGCTAATTAAGAAGCTTCCATCAAGAACTTAGAAAACAAAATGGGGCAAATTATTAAGAAAATCAGTGAACCAGTTCAAGGATCATTTTTCAGAAATACAGTGGAGAATCCAAAGGAATTTTGTCAAGTAATCATTATAAGAAGTGGGAAAGTGATGGAGCCACAATATAAGAAAAAGCCACTTGAAAACGAGGATAATTCAAATGTTGGATAAGAAGAAGAGGTAGTAGAATAGCAACCAGAATTAGAGATTGAAAAAGAGAAAGAAGAAGAGAAAAATCCACCAAAATAGAAATTAGTGGTGGGTGAGGCATATTGGAACAAATCTAAGAAATAGATCCTGGAAGATTCATGCAAGCCTCAAATTCCCCCTCCTTATATTAAGCTACCATATCCACACATCCATAAGAACAAGGGGAAGGAAAAGCAATTTTTCAAATTATTGGACATTTTCAGAAAGCTACACAGAAATATACCATTTGCAGAAGCACTAGAGCAAATGTCTTTGTATGCCAAGTTCATAAAAGACTTGCTTTCAAAGAAGAGTAAATTAAAGGAGGATGCTACAATCGCTTTGATCGAAGAATGCAGCGTAATCCCGCAGCAAAAACTACCTCCAAAATTAAAAGATCCAGGAAGCTTCACAATTCCCGACACTATAGGGAATGTGACCATTGGAAAGGCTTTATGTGACTTGGGGGCCAGCATCAACTTAATGTCACTCTTCATTTTGAAGAAATTGGGAGTGAGTGAAGTTAAAAGTACAAGAATGGCTCTCCAACTAGCTGACCAATCCATCAAGTACCCATATAGTGTAATGGAGGATGTGTTGGTAAAGGTGGACAAGCTAATTTTTTGAGCAGATTTTGTTATTTTGGATATGGATGAAGATTCTAAAGTGCACGTGATCTAGCCACCAGAAGAGTGTTGATTGATGTACAACAAGGTCAATTGATGTTGAGAGTGCATGATGAGAAGGTGACTTTCAAAGTTTTTGAGGCAATGCAGCACTTGGATGATGAAAAGAACACTTGCTTTAGGATGAACATGGTAGATTCTTTGGTTATAGCAAAAAGGTTTGATGCAGAAAATTGTGCAGATCCATTGAAGAAAGCTCTATTTAATGTTGTTATGAATAATGATGAAGAAAGTGATGAAAAATTAGAGGAGATTGCATAACAGTTAGACGCCCAACCAGTGTTGCAGAAAATTACAAGTGCTGAAAATTTGGAAGAAGCAAGCACAGTGGAGACACAACAGTTAAAATTGAAGCCCCTACCCTCCCACCTTAAATATGTATTTTTTGGGGGAAAAGAAGACCTGCCTAGTGATAATCAATAACAAACTCTCTCAGCTGAATGAAGAAAAATTATGAGAGTTTTAAGGAAGCATAAGGCAGCAATAAGATGGTCTATTGAAGATCTGAAGAAAATAAGGTACAAACAAATTATGCCATAACAAAAAAAGAATTACTTGTAGTGGTTTTTGCTTTAGAAAAATTCAGATCATATATCATAGGATCCAAAGTGATCATCCACACAAATCATGTTACTCTAAAATTTTTATTTTCTAAGAAAGAGTCTAAACTAAGACTAATTCGTTGGGTATTATTGTTGTAGGAATTTGATCTGGAAATTTGTGACAAAAAAGGAAAGGACAATGTCATTGCAGACCATTTGTCAAGGCTGGAAGGAACTTCATCATCACGTGCAACAGAGGAGATACAAGAAAATTTTCCTGATGAACAGTTGTTAGCTATCATTGAGAGGCCATAGTTTGCTGACATAGAAAATTTTAAAGCTTCCAATATTATTCCAAATAATTTGACATGGCAGCAGAAAAAGAAATTTTTCAAGGACTCAAATCAGTACATATAGGATGACCTTTTCTTGTTCAGAATTGGGACGGATGGAATACTCAAAAGATGTGTGTCACTTGAAGTTCAGAGCATTTTATGGCATTGCCATGATTCTCCTTATGGAGGACATTATAATGGGAATAGGACTGCTGCAAAGGTTTTGCAAAATGAATTTTTCTGGCCAACAATCTTCAAAGATTCCTTTGCCTACACAAGAAACTGTGATAAATGTAAGAGGATGGGAAACATTACAAAAAAGAATGAATTGCCACTAAATAACATCTTAAAAGTTGAGGTATTTGACTATTGGGGCATAGATTTCATGGGACCATTCCCATCGTCATTCTAGAATAAATACATTTTGGTGACAATTGATTATGTGTCTAAGTGGGCTGAAGTAGTTGCAGCATCCCTAAACAATGCCCAGACTATGATCAAGTTCTGAAAGAGGAATATTTTTGTGCGGTTTGGAGTGCCAAGGATTTTAATCAGTGATGGTGACACTCACTTTTGCAATTAACAACTTCAATCTCTTCTCAACAAGTATAATGACAAGCATAAGGTGGCAACACCTTATCACCGACAAACAAGTGGGCAGGTTGAGGTAACTAACAGAGAGATTAAAAGAATATTGGAGAAAATAATGGGCAACACCAGAAAAGATTGATCAACAAAGCTAGATAATGCTTTGTGGGCCTATCGGATAGCTTACAAGAGTTTCACTGACATGTCTCTATATCAGCTAGTATATGGAAAAGCTTTTCACCTTCCATTAGAATTAGAGCACAAGGCACATTGGGCAATCAAGTATTTGAACCTGAATGAGAAAGTGTCATAAGAACAAAGAAAATTTCAGCTCACCGAGTTGGAGAAATGGAGGAATTTGGCTTATGAAAATGCTGAAATCTAAAAATTAAGAGCTAAGACCTATCATGATAAGGCGATCAAACATAAAGTCTTTCAACTTGGACAACAAGTTTTACTGTTCAATTCTAGACTAAGGTTGTTTCCAGGCAAACTAAAGTCAAAATGGTATGGCCCATTTTTAATCAACGATGTCTCTCCTTTTGGAGCAATCATAATTCAGGATCCTTCTTCTGAAAGAGTGTTCAAAGTTAATGGATAACACCTTAAAATCTATTTTGAAGGAGAAATTCAGAGGGGGAAGGAAACCATTCACTTATCAGATTCTCCATAAAAAAAGGACACAATGTAGTAGTAAAATAGTTTAGAAAAGAATTATATTCTTGCAATTTTTTTATTTCTTCAATTTTAGCTTATTAATATCTAATTGCAGAGTTGATAAGGAGCAGAGTGCTATCTAGTTGAAGAGAGATGGTCACAGGATATTTAAATTGAGGCAAGTGTTCGCTTCGTGATATGTGGGCACACATAAAGGCCCTCTGGTGGAGATACAACCACGTTTTTGGGGTACTCTTCCTGGCCTATGGACTTCAAGAGATTTTCAAGTTTCAAAATTCTATGGAAAATACCAAAGAGCGCCACACAGGTTCTGTTTTGTCATTTAGTACATAAATAAATATTATTATTATAATAGTATTAGTATAATAATAATAAATTTAAAAAAAAATAATAAATATAATAAAATAACATATATATATATATATATCTTATTATAATATTTTAAATTTTAGTTTATAATTTTAAAAATAAAGAGCCCAAAAGTGGCGATAACTTGTGCTCAGACCATGAGTAGTCACTCACTACACTTTGCAGTTTTCTCTTTAATGTTCCACTACTACATCTTAATCACGTTCCTCACATAACTCCCCACGTTCTAATTCACTCTCACCATCCATTAACTACCTACACTATTCATTTTTTCTTCCAGTACCCATTTTCAAAAGTTCTAAGCTTCACAAGGTATGCTTCCTTTTATAGTGCATGCTCTATTTTTTTTTTCTGTGATTCTTACTCTCTTATTTTCATCTCCATCCATGATTCTTTTTGTGTATATTATATTCTCCCCTCTTTTAATGGCCGATCCTATTCATGAATATTATTTGGCCTAAATCTTTTACTTGCTTCCTCTATTTTATTTTATTTTTCTTTTGGTTAACAAATGTTGAAAGTTTCTTTCTTTCATGATTGTTGTGCATTTTGAGCATTTTAGGGCAAAGATCCATCCTTTATTATTTGAGCAGTTTGCGTCTTTATAGGGAAAATTTATTTGTGCATTTTTTTTCTTACAATCCGACAACTTATTCGAGATTGATGATTGTCTCCACAAACCAACACAAGACTTTTCAACGTGTTTTATCCTCATTCACACACTTCCTGAAAACTGCTCAGAAGGTCACCCATTCTATAATTTTCTCAAGTTAAGCCTGCTTGTATGTGTATGTGATAGTGTAGAGTACTTACTATTACATTTATTTTTCAAGTGACT